AGATTACTGATCATTTCCTTTTCATTGTTCATTTCCCTCCCTACCGTCTCTCACGCTCCCTCAATGTCTCTCTGTGTCTCTCTTGTCTTCTTAACGAACAGCAATTTTTTTTCATTAAAAAAAAAAAAGAAAAGAGGTAAGCTGTCACAGCTGCTCCTCGCCACGTTTCCATCACTTAACTTCAAATGCATTTCTGTCCCTCACCTTGTTTTTTTTTTTCCAATGCATTTCTGTCCCTCACCTTGTTCTTACTCCTGTCAGCTGTTCTCACATCTGGCCATTTCTTAGCAGGGTGGTCAAAAATGTGGGGTGTGTCATGAAAGTGACAACAAAGAAAGGACAAGAGATATGCCAACCTTAAAGGTGTCCATGCTCAGAATGAGCATATACCTCTCACAGTAATATGGTATTACTGTACCATATACAGTACCTCTCACAGTAATATGTCAGATACCAGGAAGTGATCTACAGGCATGTTGCGCACACACACGCACACACGTGGATACAAACAGTATGTTCTGATGTGCAGCATCGGAACGAGGAAATGACAACAACAACAAACAAAACAAAAAAAAGACAGAATTTTGTGTGACTGAAATAGAAAGCAGCAGACGGTGTGTGTGTGTGTGTCTGCAGCTCACCGGGCGCTTGTTTGTACCTGTGACAAACATTTAGTGCTTCTTCAACAACAGATGGCACATAATGAAAGATAAGAGGCAGCGGATTGAAAAGATTGATGTCTGGGTTTTTATGCACGTTCTCCTCCTGCGTGTAGCCCCCGCACAGAACTTCCACAGCAGCTGTAATCTCACGTCGAGGACAAAGACAGGAAGAGCACCGAGGCATCTTTCAACTTGGAACCAACCCACAGTCTCCCCCAGACACACACACACACACACACACAAATGATGCGGTGTCTTAGTGGGCGTTGTTCCTCAAGTTGGCTGACAAGGTGCTGATAATGAGCTGACAGTGCTGGGCTCCATCCACCACAGGAGAGTAGCAAGAGTTTGACAGGCTTGCCGAGAATATATTCAGGAATGTGAAACCGCTCTCACCGAGTGCTGCAGTCATGTCTAAAATTACCTAAAGGAAAATTACACAAAACTACCAAAAAAAAGGTGTCTTCACGTTTCGTTTGACTACGGTCTGATGGTCTGGCACTGCGAGAGTGTTTGTTGTGTAACAAACACTCTTCCTGCACAGTGTGAAGTCCATGTGAAAATCTCTGCACATGCACATACTCACAGGGGGGTCGGTCTGCATTCTGCGCGTGAGTGCAGTCTACTTGATTTTCATAGGGACATCTAGAATGCTATTAGCCCACTGCTTCTGCGGCTGGAACGGTGCTCTTTGTACAAGCAATTAAAGCTAAAATATCAGAAAAAATATTTCGAGACTTGATAAAAAAAAATGAAAACAAATGTTGCTTTTAGCCAGCCAAAAAATTGTTGTATTTTTGTGTTTCATGTTGTTAAAAATGAGGCAAAATTACCTTGAAATATCTCTTCCTACCATTAACGTTGCATTACTGGGCTTTTAGAGCTTGGCTTTGGAAAAACGTTGGTTAAAAAAAAAAAAATACCACACGGTGTTTCTGCAGGACACACAACTGCCCATGAAGGTTGTATAATCGGAACTATTTTTACTTATCAAGTGCCAGAGAATTACAGAGCGGAAACAGCAGGGTTTTCAAGGTCTTTGGTCCAAAGCCGAGACCCTCTGTATATCATTCAATGTGTGCATTTCCAAATGGAAAAAAAAAGGTTTGTTTTATCCAACCAATCGAAAAATATACAACCGCACTGCAGTATCTCTGCCGACCCCTGTTGAAGGTCTCATCCACAAAGTATCTTTAAGAAGTAAATGGCCTGCACTGCAGTATCTCTGCTGAAGGTCTCATCGACAAAGTATCTTTAAGAAGTAAATGGCCAAATACTTGATTTATTCCTAGGAGATCACTGACAGTCATCTGAGAGAAAAAAAAACATCCTTGTTCAGCCTTCTTCAACTCAGATATTACAAATATAAACCATTTTTTAGAATTAAAATGAAAGATTAAATGGAGAAATAATTCACCTGCAGAATGCAACTACACAATCAGTCTTTGTTTGCCCTGGTTAATTATCAGACACTCACTCCGCTACTGCTACCCTCAGATGACACACACAGACGTTTGCCTGTAGTCACACCGCAGGGATCGACAGGCTGCATAATTACTCTCCTGTGAAACTATATCATTGTCACCGTCAGCTGTCCATATAATGGAACCTCAGAGCTACCAAGTCAGTGATTCACCCAACCGTCCACACCAATGCCCGCCTTTGACTCGCAGCTACACTGCTATGCTCCGTGGTTGCTAAGCAACTCAGGGAAATTGGAGGTGCTGCTGAATTAGAGCACGGTTTAAAATGTGATTTATATGGAGACCTTGATGATAAATGTCTCCCTAAATGGGTAGAGAGTAGAATGGAAATTGATTTGAAGGCACGTTCTTTGCCCGTTTAGGGAGCTCTGTGTTACTGTTCACACACACACACACACACAGTAGTATCACAGAGATGCAGATCCAGTGTCTGTTCAGCTCTGGACAAAGAATGTAGTTAAGAGAGTGACTTTCTGCTGCAAAACACGGTTCAGTCATGCGACTCGAGTCCACACCTCTGGACTGTAGTAAAAACACTTTGTGACAAAAACCACAGAAATACATTTGTCAAAAGGCCAACGGACAACACGCACAAAAAAAAAAAACCCTAAACATTCAAGCTGAGTCAAGTGTAAATTATACTATATTTACACATATTTAGGTTGGGGGGTGAAAAAAAAAAAAAAAAGCATTTCATCACAACATGCTCAGTTACACCACCCGTCATTATACACAAAATGTATAATGCCTCACTCTCATACTACTGCACAGGCACGGCTGTGACATTGAGTACATTGAGATTTCTTTGCAATAAAGCAAGGGAGGTGACCATGGCCTGTTTCCATGATATCATAAACAGGAAATGGGAAAGGGCTGGTCCAGCCGGAGAGGTTTAAGTCAGGGTGGAATTTGGCAGAGAGGTTAGACCTTTCCCATCATGTTCATTCCCATAAAGAACCCCCCCCCAAAAAAACATGTATTATTTCTACTTCAAACTCAATTTATTTCTATTCCTCCCTCCCTTTCCTCTGTTTTCTTTGTATTAAAAAAAAAAAAAAAAAAGATGTCATCATCTGAAAAGCTGGTGCACTTCTTTCCGTGGCCTTCATGCAGGTTCTGCTCCCTACGGTCGCCATGCCAACCTGTGTGAGGAGGAGGTTTTACTCCGGGCCTGCAGAAACCCGATGAGGTCCTGGGATAATTACAGGCTCATTATGGAGCCCGAAGAATAGGCCAGTGAGATGAAGGAACCACAGGGGAGGGTGCTGTGGAGAACACATGGGATCCCAGCTCAGATCAAAGGGAAGTGCACGGTGAAGAAGATGGAGACAAGGGAAACATGCTCCTCGCTCATTCACACCTACAAAGATAGCTCCTAATCCCCATTTTGAAACTGATGCGAGTGTCAGATGTGTGCAGCTGCAGATAAGCGTCGTCAACGGCAGCTCTGTACCACACCAATCTGAGTGGGGCTTTTTTTTCCCTCATACCCCAGAGGCCTTAGTCACTCCAGCAATCAGAAAAGCATTAAAACAGCCACTCACATACACCGACACACACACACACCTCCACTCTAAAATGAAGCTGAGTACAGGAACAATGTGTGAGCAGCACAGGTCCCAAGCTGAGCCGTCTGTCGATCATCCTGAATCTCACCATGTTAGCTGTTGTTTATTCTGCAGGAGCACATCTCTCCTTCTTCTCCTTCCAACACCAGACCCATAATGCAGTACTGTACCCATTTAAGGCGTACACGCAGGTGTATCTCAAGTACAAACATTATCCGATTCATCAGCCATTGTTGTGTACCAAATACCAAATGTGTTGTTTTGTAGTGTATCTGTTTGCCAAAGTGTCTCGGAAGAAGCAGATGGTTCTTGGTCATATTGGTACATTATTGAAAAAGAATTTGGACCAGCGTATGCTGGTCCTACGCTTTAAGAAAATGATCATTCAACAGTCCGGCAATAAAACGTGGGATCGTTCCATAACACTGCTGTCAGACGTCGTTAAAAATGTTCTAATAAAGTGAAAACAGAATCCATCTGTCTGATCACAAGCGTCTTCGGGGAGGAAGAAAGCAGCTGGATTGGAGCCATGTTAGTCTTGGCTGCAGACAAGTATCAGTCTGTCGAGAGTGACGCAGCTCAGAGCGCATGGCCCAGATTTCTGTAAAAAAAAATATAGACATCTGCAGCAGCAGAGACTCGAGAACGTGGAGGGAAAGTGTTCTTACAATCTCAATTTGTAACAACAGAAGAGGGAGGTCGCGTTGAAAATATACACTCTGTTCACAAATGTGTTTTAAACTGACTGCTTTTGATGTAATTTAAATCAATTATTTAGATAATTATTTATATATATATATATATATATATAAAAAGCACAGCGAACAATCCTCTACATTTCTTCTCCCCCTCCCGTTAAAGAAAACATCTGCCATCAACATCATCAACAGTGTAACACCTCTTCCCCCTAGTGGCGAAAAAAGTGAAGCTGTATCATGGATGCCGAGTCTGCTTGTTATAGCCGTCTTTAAATGGACTTTCGCTCATTAAAAATTGTGTTCCCCAAAATAATTTTCAAGTTTTTTTTTAAATAAAGAGACAATTACTCTTTAATAACGTTTGCTTTTGTAAACGATGTTACTTTTTTTAAACCAAATCTGGCAATACCGGCCTTTGACTGTAAACGTTTTGTGATAAAAAAAATACGGCAAGCTAATTATTTTAGCATACCGGATTTTTGTTGTAAAATTCCAGGCTAAAATTAATTACTGTGTCTCAGCTTTTCGTTCTGTATTAGGCACATTATGACACATAATTATCGGGTTTAAGAATACATAAAGCATTGATACAATATCTAAAAGAGTTTGTTTAATTTAACATAAACTGTCAGACAAAGGCACATTACGCAGGTTGATTTAACGACCGATTTAACACATGGTTCGTCAGAGGTGAATAGAAAATGTAAACCATGTTTGTACTTCTGCAGGTAAAACTTCGTATGCGTATGTGTCCTAAAGGGAAAAAAGGCAAAACAACACGTAGCAGTCAGTAGAACAGAGTCATCACAAACATATTATAATAGCAACGTTAGGTAAGACGTGACAATGAAGAGAACACACAGTAGTCAGTCCACAGTATAAGCTCACAATCCATCTTTTGTGACCTGTTCTGGGCCTCTCCGTCATCATTAGAGTAGTGAAGTTTGTTTGTTGCATTTTCTTTCTCAATAAAGAATGGCATTCCGTCACAGTATAAATCATTTCTTCTCTATCACATTATTAGTAAAGGATACATCACACAGGGTGAAAGTCATAAGACATTTAAGTGACCATCTTGGTGCGTTTTCGTTGCCGTTTGGGCGAACGTACGCCGGTCACTGCGCTGGTGACCTGGTACGTGTTGATATGACCAGACAGACAGCACAGTAGTGCAGGGAGTGGAGTCATTCTGACAAGAGCACAGCTGCTATTATCAGAAGCCAGCAGTGGCTTCAGTGGTTATGAATACCTCATGACAACAGGAATGACCCACATGCACAAACATACGGCTGAGGAGGACACTTCGAGCCCCCGTTACATCCAATTTCAGGATTTCCCACGTGCATTTACTCACAGTTGATCTTTTCTGAGCAAGTGTCATTTAGAGAAGAATAACATATTTTCTACTTTGCATACATAAACAAATGTTCACACAGCAAAGCATATCAGCACTGTGGATTGACTTTACAGCGATGCTGTGTTTATGTATTTTTAAACTGTTTATTGTTCTAAGACCTTTGTGTAAAGTTTGAGTTTGAGCTGTCACTTGCTAAACTGACAAGGAACATTCTGTAGTCTGAAGAACTGCTGCTGATGCCGTGAAAGCTGAGATAAACAGCGTTAACCAGTCAATATTAAACCCTTATTTAATCCAATGGAATAATTTGTTGAGTACGTTAAATAATGTAAACTTTCTCAACAAAGGCAGCATGCTCAGAAATGGCTCCGAAAGTTGTTAAAAGCACCTAGGAAATCTCTGAAAATTGAACATTTTCTTGGAGGCGGGGGGGGACAAATAATTATGTCCTTAACTGTACATACATAAAAGCACACAACAACACACTGTACCTTTAAAATATTATCGATACACACGTATTCCTAAAATAATCAATAATAACAATAATAAAAAGAAAAATCCTAAAAATGAGGCATATTGCACATTGAACATTGTGAACAGTCCACGGAGCGACAAAAGGAACATAAGGCAGGGGGGGGGAAATCCAGCCTGTGAGAATTGTTCTGGCATCAAAATTAAAATTTTGAGTGCTAACAGGTCTTACAAGGTAAACCCCTGACTTTCAGGCCATGAGGTCAGAGTCAGGTAGAGTGAGAACACAGAAGTAGCACATCATCAATAACAATCAACCCAGTGACAGTCAAGAAATAAAATGCGGAATGTCGGACTTTCCAAGAGATATGGATGTGATTAGTCTGTTAGATAAGTGCCAAAACATCACGTGTAATACAGAATAAGGACACCGGGGACATACACTTCATCTGCACTCAGTGTTCCTTGCTAGAACGAGATATGACGATGTAGGCTTCTTCGACCTTTGATTTAAAAAAAAAAAAACTTCATGATGGCATTCCAGCAAAGCAACTCGTACCAGGAACAAAGACTGTAAGAATTGATAAGAAGGTCAGACTCAAATTTTCATAATGAAGCACAAATTAGACTAAATCAAATTAAGCCATAAAATCATGCAACTGCATGGCTAAAAAAAATTACAAGAGAATAATAATGCACTCATCTCCATAATCAACCTCGTGACATTGGGGGGCAGGGGGAGCAGCAGATAAACAGGGCCGAGTGAGGCAACACACAGAGGGAATATTGTAAACAATGACATGAAAGTTGTGTTTGATACACACAAAAGAAATTCAATAATGAAAAATTAAAAAAAAAAAAAAAAAAAAAGACCCTGTTATTTTCTTAGATTTCACCGTCGGTAGAACTTTCTGTGTTCTTATTCGAAGATCCCACTTAACAGCCGTAAACAGTTTAAGGCAATGGTTCCCAAACGTTTGTTGCAGCGCCCCGCCGCCCCTGCCCCCACCCCCACTTTGTGAGAAGGGTGATTGTCTCGCCCCAAACCATATAACATCGTCTCAAACACCCACTAAACTTCATTTAATGCACTGTAGTTTCCACAAACTGCTATTTTCTTTGAACAAAGAAAAAGAAAATGATACATAAGTTAATATTTCCATCAGTGGTTCAAAGAAAGGAAATTGAAATCAATTTGCCTTGCGGAGCCCCCCCTCACACCTGCAATTTATCCAAGCACCCAATGGGGGGTCCACCAAGTCGTTACATCATGAAACAATAGTTTTTTTTTGTCTAGTTTGATCTTAGCTATTCCAGAGAACTGAAACTTCTAGGTGGAGATGGTAGCCACACCTTTCACTCACCATATTTTAAAAACACAGCAATGCTTTCTGCTTGGTTCCTTTAAGCCCTGGTGTGATTTGTAACATTTCCATAAGAAGCATCTGTACAGTGAGTGCGGGGGTTTCTTTTAGATCACCCCCCAAGGAGTGAGTGGAATCATCTGCACAAGACTTTGACTTGCAGTTCATTTAAAACAGCTACTGGCTACAAGCAAGTGGCACTTACTTCTTGTAAACATTCCTACTGTTAAAACTCCATGTTACTTCATAGTGAAAATGTATTACAGTGAGATTTTGACACAAGGGGCCTGTTAGCAGAAGCTGAAGAAAAGAAACCGAAACAGGAAAAACACTGGTTTTATGCTAGGCTTAACTTCCAGGACTCCTGATTGTTGTGAAAACTTTTTCCCAACTATCTCATTATTTAATATTTATCATTTGGTAAAAAAAATTCTAATTAGCATTTCAAGGCCAAAGCTTCGCTATATAAGGTGCATTTTAGTCAAATCAACCTCAACTTAATTTACATTTAATTCTGTTTCAAAATGTCTCCTCTTTAAATGGTCTTTTCCTGTATTTTTAAAAGCAACCAGGAGGTAACAAAACTTTATTATTATATCAATAAAATCTTCACGATTAAGACATAATTGTAGCTCAACACACGAGAGATTTCTAAGTCGGAAAATCACAGAAAATCTCGTTTTTTAAAAAGATGGACTACTGTAAAGGGGTGGGGGGGTAATGGCTGCTCTGTTAGATTGTACAACCAATCCTCTGAGACACTTCTACCCTGGCAGCTGACAGGGCCGTGGTACTGTTTTTTTGATCTGTTCCCAGCACTGTCAGGTGACAAACAGCAGCCTGTCCATGGTGTGCTGTAATCGTTCCCAGTTCTTCCAGAATATGCTCAGAAAGCAAATCCCCAGAAAAGTAGCCACCACGTGATAGCGGCTCCTCATCAGCGGAGCAGCAAACTTGGCAGCAGTGGAGACGCACACCAAGATGACAGTGATGATGGCCAGCATTATGTTGATGCTCTTCCCCAGCAGAACTCGGGCATCATGACTCTCCAGTTGAACCGTTTGTTGCTGCTGCTGCTGCTGCAGCTCCAGCTTGGACACTCGCGTCTGACACGACTCAAGGGCTTCCTAAAATAAAGTAGAGAGAGAGAGAGAGAGAGAGAGAGAGAGAGAGATTTTGTGGTCTGAATATTTCACCGATTGCTTAGGGCATTTTCTGTCCTTGTCAATTGCCCCAAATCCCACAAAAACATGAATTATGCATCACATAGAGAGAGAGAGAGTGGAGAATCTGTGGTGAAATGTCAGACGACAACAGACATTTGTTTTCAACCGTTATCTGATGAAGAGCCAGTACAGAGAGGGTAAGTACATTTCAATCTCTTTCACGACAGATACGCCTTAAAAACATTGAAATATCAACCATTCATCCGCTAATTAACAAACAGACAACTCAAACGTACCCCCCCGCCCGAAGCTAACTCCAGTGCATATCAATTATACCTGTATGTCCCGGGCCCTCTCTTGGGCCTGGTAGGCCACTCTCTCCTCAATGCTGGCCAGCTCCTGCTTCAGATTAGCCATTTCATTTTGGTGAAGCTCCGTCAAGTCATTCAGCTGGTCTTCCAAATGCTGGTACCTGAAGATCAGTGCAGGTGACATCACACACTGTCAGAGTTTGAATCCATATCAATAGAAATATATGCCAATTCAACCCCGTGTGATTGGTCCTTGCATTTACACCGTGCGACGGCCGGAAATCATAACAACGTATGTTTATGTGAGAATAAAAGACAAAAAAAAAAAAAAAAAAAAAACAGGAGAAAATGAAAAAGTTAAGATTTCAACCACATGTAACTGTGAACCTACTGGAACACCCATTTTCACAGAAACAGGCAACTCAAGAAAACTGAAACTGAAGCTTGTAGACAAAAACAAGTTGAACGACATACTCCTTCCCTCATTAGCACTTTAATAATGTACTGATGAACTGAAATATGCCATTGTGCATCACGTCAACATGTGGACATGTGTACTAACACAATGTCCCTTATGTCAGCATTGAATATTTTCAATATCACCATACCTGTACTTCTCTTCCTGAAGATTCTGACTGATGATGCCGTACTCTCTCTTGAACTGAGCCTTCAGCTCCTCCATATCTTCCTCCAGCTGGTTCTGAGCTTCCCTGATCTCCTTCACCTCCTCTAGGCTCAGGGCCAGTCTGCTCTGACTCTCTCCTCCCGCCATCTGTCCCTGGACTGGGTCCTGTGCTTGTCCCGTTGACGCTCCCCCTAGCCCTGCTGGGTTACCATTACTGTCTGCTGATATGGACGCGCTGCCCGAGGAGCACTCATCATCACTGGGGTACTTCGGTTTGCCCACCATTGAGATGCTGCTGCTAAGTCCTTTTTCTGCACCGTCGGTGGGCAACGGAGAGGAAGTGTCCAGGCCGGTCTTGAGGTGGTCAATGTTGTCAGCGCTGCCAAATTTGTTCCTGATGAGGTTGGCAAACTCCCTGGGTTTGCTGAAAAAGAAGGGTGGCGACAGAGAGACCCCTGGCCCTATGGTCTTGATCTTATCCATGGTGGGGTGGCGTCCGCTGCCGGTCATGTCCTTCAGGAGCTCTCTGGGTGACTCCCTGGGCATGGTGCTGTGTTTGACAGTAGACAGTCGAGGGGACGGGCTCTGATAAACTTCACTGTCTTTTATCTTACGATGATACTGCTCCAGCTTCTTCTGCATTTGAGCAATGTTCTGAGCCGACTTCTGGTTCTTCTTTTCAAACACCTGCTTGATGCGCCCCACCTGCTGCTTGTCAGCACTGTTCATCAGCTTCAAATACTCGGCAACGTTCTCGTCTCTGGCAGTCTGCTCGATTTTGAGCTGTTCTGTGACTTTCAAGATCTTTTGCTGCAGGTTGTCCAAACAGGAACGACTACGCTGGACCTCAAAGCCATGAGCCGGAGTGGGGCTCTCATCACCAAAGTCGAGGTCGAGATTGTTCTCTGAAGAGCCTCGTCGCATTGACATGGGGATACTCAAGAAACTGCCCTCAGCACTTCGGTCCTACAACAAGGAAAAGAAGTGACATTTTTAAAAGAAGCTTCAAAAAGGATCAGTGCTGGATGTGGATCTAGACGGTGCAGGGTTCTGTGCAAAATTGTTGTAAAACATATGCAGGATCTGTCTGAAGAAAGTATAGATGATGTGATTCTAAATGTATAATTCATAAACTAGAACCTAAAGACGCAATGTCTGCCTGCGAATGCCAAGGTACCGTCTGACTTTTCAGCTTTGAACACAGAAATCTTATCAGTTCATTCATGACTCCCAGTGATGAAATAATCCCACCGCATTCCTGAGATTTTTTACAAAGGTGGGAGGGCTGAATGTAACGGATTTAACTACATCTCAAATAGTTGACTTTTGCAAACAACTATTACTGACCAAAACCAAACTTTTTTTTTTTAATTTTCAATTTTAACTTAATTTGTTTTACATGCGTCCTTTACGGAAGCATATTGCTGCCACACAGAGAAAAAAAAAATTGTGATGAATTTCACGTTATTTCGTGATGAGTTTCACGTTATTTCGTGATAAGTTGAAGTTTCACGTTACTACATGATAAATTTTACGTTATTTCGTGATAAGTTTTTAATGTTTAAAGATTGGATCAAAAAATCTGCGATGTACTGAGGGAGCGAAAGTAGAACCGCGATACAGAGAGGGACCACTGTAAGGCAATATTACGTGATAAGTATTTAATGTTTAAAGATTGGATTAAAAAACTCGAAATAACGTGAAACTGAGACAATTTTTTTTTTCTCAGTGTGGCAGCAAAATGCTTCCGTAGTCCTTTGTAATTACAGAGTGGAAATATTAAATCATATTTAATACTATACCGATTTAAGATAAATATATGTACACGCCTTGGTTGTCCGTTGGATATCAAAGATTTTGGACAAAAGTGTTGGATAAATTTGGCGAGTGTTGACAAATGACAAGCTTCTATAAAAAAAATACAATATAAACATTTTTTGGTTTGATTCTATTAAAAAAGAAATACAATATAAACATTTTTTGGTTTGTTACTTCTTACTTGTGTTTGACTGTACAAAATTACTCTAAGCTCTTCTCCTCCCCTGTCGCAGTGCTCTGTGACCATCTGGTTGTGTTTGTAATGCAGACACTAAATGACACATCTGTTACATTTTAGGGCTGAAATTTAATCCTCTTTGTTCATGTGTAGTACACAGACAAAGGCAGTAATACTTTGGAAAGACGTGGAACATGGTCGACTTATGAAGGTCAACGATATTGTCACAAGCCTACAGTATGAAACTTTTCTTTTACCTGACAGTGTTCCACTAAACAAGTCTTTTACACCTAACATTTAGACATTTCAAGTCACACTGAAACACTGAGTAATGGTTTCAGTCTGACTTGTTCGTAGCAGACACTGTGGGTCAGAGGACGCCGTGTTCTGTGTTTCCAATTTGTGGAACTAAAACTCAGTAAACGTGGCTTAAATTAGTCTTAACTGATCTGCAGCCTCCAAAAGAGGAAGCTAACAGGAAGACACAGCAACTTTATAAAAAGAATTACATTTTCACCTCAAAATGTAATCTCACGACAAAAGTGACCACAAAAAAAAAAACACCCTGAATTTCACAAGATGAGGTTTGAACAGCACCATAGCTGACCGTAGGGGTTGTAAGCTTAATAAAGGTGTTGTACAACAAGCACCATGGGGTTGTACAGAGCTGAGCTAATCCACAACAATGTAACACTGCCACTCTGCAGCAAATAAACAGATCACTGCTAACCCAAGTGGACTAAGGCCCTGATCCGGCTTAGCGTTTCCACATCACCACATGACATATATGTGTTGCAAGAAAATCCCCTTACAATAGAATAATGGACTGTGTTTAGCAAACAGTGAAGCTCCTCTACACATGACTCTTAAGTATGTGTTATATATATATATATATATGAGTGTGTGTGTATAAATCAATAATGGAGACACTGAGGAACATGTGCTGCTGGACACACTGCGCAGGATTATTTCTCTCCTAATTCAGTTACACGTACCTCCCCATTCACTTGCTGTCAGCTGTATGAGCTCACTCTCAATCGACTGGTCAGACTTGTTTGTGAAGCCAGTCCTATGAGCAACAGCGGTGTGAGCTCACAGACCTGTGTTTGTACCACAAATTTGGTTTCACTGTAATCAGTGACAAACAATACTGCTTATTTTGAGTGGTCTAGACTGAACAATTAGTCACATGAGCTGTGACTCCTAAGTGTGCGAGTGTTTTAGAGCTGAAGAGTTAGTGGTTAATTGGAAAAATACACATATGTAATGAAGTGTATTACTTCTATGACTAATGTTTTACTTCAGTGTGAAACCTAGGCCTGTTTAGTGAAAAACAACACTGATATATTTGCAGGAATTGAAGAAAGACACAGAATAAAAAAAGTTCAACAGTCTTTTTCTTTTTAGTTTGTTTGGCATCAATACAATAGCACTGTTATGTTAAGTGACATTGCATTGATGGATTGCCATACAGATGGTACACTTTTGTGTATAACAGATTCCTACTCATTGTGCCTGTAATTCCACATTTTTTACATAGATGACTTGTTATTAATCAGTGACGTGTGGCCTCAGAATGCCCCTCTTATTTCTACAAGCCTGTCTGGGGTGTTTCAGCCCCAGTTCTCGTCCCTTCTCTTCCCCCTCTCTGACATCTGCCCTACTTGAACACAAGGCTCTTTCTCTGCGGAGAAAAAAGCAGACTTTGTCATGTCCTACCTCGGCTCTGTCCACAACCCTGATGATCCAGCTGCTGCATATGGAGCCACAGGCCTAGCGTAGCCAGAGGAACCTTGCACCGAATCCCAGTGTCTCTCTTTCCATAACATCCAAATAGCTCTCTTGTCCGAACAATCAGTTTGAGTTTAAACAGACCTTTTGCCAAACCTGTTTGCAAACAAAAGACTGAGGGGACTAATATCCTTCTCTTTCACGAGGAAGTACAGGACTGCTTGGCCGTGCATGTTCCTCATATTACCAGGGCTTTTAAGCTTTTTTTAATGCGGACAAACAAAGACCTGCTTGTTCAACCACAAAGCTTTAACTACACGCTTTACTGGAACTCTGCAATGGCTCTTCGGAGACACTGCTACCACTGGCTTAAATATTACTGAAATATGCAATGGACACCTCTGTATCACTGTAAGTGAAAATAAAACGACACGGTAAATGATCAATGCTCGAGGATGGCCATAAACAATATCTAACAGTTACTTGCCAAACGTAAAAAAATTAATTTAGCTGCCTGCCACCTTCACCAGGGATAGAAGATGTGGTGACAACAGTATCAACAGTCCATAATGGCCAAAGTGGATACCAGGGCAAATGTTATGCAGCCCGAAAAAGAGACATACTTTTTGAGGTTTTTAAAGCAAGGTTTAAAAGATGCATTTCACGACAGAGAGGAGCTAAAATAACGCAGATAACCACAACCAGATGTTTAATGTGCACCCGAACACAATGCTGTGACAGCTGAAGAATTCCTTCAAGAGAGATTCTTGGACCTTTGAAACCTTTACACTTTAATCAGCCTGTTTTCACAGCTGCTGCCGCCTCACAAGATCTCTACTCACACTGATAAAACTGCTGGAGCAATCTGAGGGTCTGTCTGGATGACTAGCTCGGCTAAATGAATTAGCCACATGCTGATGAAAATGTCCTTTTAAATCTTCTTCTGAAGCCGTCCTACTTTTCACTCCATTTCATTACAAACCCTTGTGCAGGGGATGGTTAGCATACAACGTTAGAGGCCTGAAGGTTCTTGGGGTTGGCTAGAGTTGACAGAGAGGCCAAAAAACACAGAAGGTAGGGGAAAGGCTACAGCACAGTGAGAAAATATCCTCACAGCGAGGTAAACTGTCCCTCGCTGAGGAGTAGGATAAGACAGTTTTAAACCAGAGCATTTGGCATCAGCAGACCCGTCTGTCTGATCTTGAGCTAATCCTTCTGTACTCCATGATTAAAATTGTCTAGGGTATTAAAGCCTGGACAGTGTGCTCCTGGCTGTGTCCAGCCAGCACAACAACAGATGTAGAAGAATGCATAAACAGATGATTATTAATAAAAGACGTGTGAAGATTATGTGTGTGTTGGTTAGATTTTATTACCTGTCAGGTTAATACGCTTAATCAGGAGAGAAAACACAGACAGAGCAATAAAAAAAAAAAAAAGGTCAAACTGAAAAGTATAACTGGGACAATAACAGAGAGCGTAAAGTGATCTCCAAAGACAGAGTTCAATGCCAGGGATGAACAGATCCTAGAGACACTGGCCCTGAATAGGTCCCTCAGCACTGCAGCAAATTTCTTACAAAAGGATCTACAAAATCCTGTGAGCCCACAGGGCACCTCTCTCACACCTCATCCACCCCCCCCCACTGCCCTACATAGCACACTTCAACCTATTTAATATGCACTGACCTCACTATACCCCATAACAGCAAATATTCAAAAACCATTAGCTTCATCCTACAAAAAAAAAAAAAAAAAAAACAGAGTGGAAATGATGTGCTGAAAACTCTGCAACATTTAATAGTGAAGTAAGGAGAGTGGGCAGAAAATGCTGATGCGGCGAGTCCTCTCCACTGCATTATTTGTCTCAAGTCGATGATCTAGTTAGTGACTCGGTTCTCATGCAAATACGGACACTTTCCCCACTATAAGAGCAGAGGCAACAGCAAACACACTGTGTAGCAGTGATTTTCAGAGGTTTTAACTTTATTTTATTCGTCGTCGTAGGTTGGATAAGGTTTTGGGACGATGTTAAAGGTTGATATACAATATTTTTGGGAATTTATTTTGTTAATAATAATAATAATAATAATAATAATAATAATAATAATAATAATAATAATAATCTCTTTGTTCAGGATAATCCTAATTTAAATGGCAGGCTATGGTTGGGTGCGTTTGTTATTGTTGTTGTTACGTAAAAACTTTGAGAAATTTTGGTACAGATGAAAGCAGTTATTTATTATTAACTCTGTCATTGTCTTTAGTACACACACACACACAAACACACACACATACTGCGGCACACCTCGCACACTCTCTGAGGGAAAACAAAACCATCCCTTCAGTGCAGAACAGAAGCACAGAGGGGAAGATGCCTGAGGTGCTTATTGGTATTCCCTCCAGCCAATCCTCATGATACAGACACTCTCCCACTCACACAGCGAAACGGGAACAAAACCAGAGAAAGAGTGACAGCAAAAACATCTTTGAGTTAGGATGGGAAAACTGACCCCCACCTCTCCCCCACTTTCTTTCATCTACATCCCACAGCTACCTATGTGGCCGGACTTCGATTTTTTTTTTTTTTTCAAAAGGCAAAACAATATATATATACCCAAGACCCTCTGCTGAGCACAAGGAGGAGGGAAAAACAACTAAAAGTTGTTGTTTTAGGACTTTTGAATGACTAATCCTCAGGGGGGTCACTGGAATGAATTAATGTATTCAGCATTATGTCATTGACAAGCTGGACCAAGGACTAAATCAATACACCATTAACACAAAGCCAAAGCATCTGCTTGCCCCTTATCGACTGGGAGAGCATCGACCGGGATTCAATTAAGATAAATCTGGAGCTGTATTAAATGTACTCGAAGTGAGGGATTAGAGTAAAGGCAATTACGAAGTAGGTTTGGGTCAGATTAACTCATCATTGAAGAAGAAAAAAAATACAGAACACATGGACAACAATTTCCATGTAATCGTTCATAACATACATGATAGGGCTTTCCTTTTTTTCCCCCCCCTTGCTGTGCCAGTTAATAGGTAAAGAACAAGATTAATGATCAGGGAGATGTCATTAGTATTGGACAATTGCCGGGACTTAAGTGAAAATGTCAACCGCACAACCTGCAGATCGCTTTTGAAATCCTCAATATGTGAGCTCATTTGCCTGTGATACATTTATTTTACCTTTGAAAAGCCCGGGTATAAATTTGTCATATATTCACATATTCACACAAATATGTATATACAACTACATACTCAAATATATCTATGTATATATATTTGAGTATGTAGTTTTATGTACATACAATACAAACAGAATTTTAATGATTTACAGAATAATGTGTACAGAATGTATATCCCATAATCATCCACTTATTATTACTCCAATACGCAGGTGATGCACACAACGTTATGTACACACACTGTGTGAAAATTATTTAATTTTCTGTATGTAAACACACTGTGTGAAAATTATTTAATTTTTTTTAACTACAGTATGCAGAGCCCAGCATGCATTTATAGAGGCTTCAACTTTAAGTCAGACGCACAGCTTTACCAAACGCAGGGCAGTAAAAGAGTCTATGACTGACAAGCTGACTGACACAACTGTCAAACGGCTGGCACGGAACTAGTGACATTCTACAAGCCGCTGTCAAGATGCAGGAGCTAAATCCACTAAATCTTTTAAGCTAAATTTTGAGTTATCTGTTGCATATTTTCATAACACATTTAATAGCACAACATTTAATATTAATACTTACATAATTTGCATTAGTCATGTGTAAAAACCAGTTGTGAAGCACACATTCACCTGCTGATGTTTGTCTTTCCGTTCTAACAACATCAAATTGTCATTTGTAGATAATGATCTTAATTAATCACGATTGATTATTTAACAGTTTAAAAAATATATTTATGATGTGTGCGTATATATATATATATACAAATATATACATATATGTCATATAGTTGAATTTAAGTGACCTTTAAGTGAAAAATACCCTTTAACACATATTACATAGTGAAAAGGGAAACAGTTGTGTTGGTCAGCTGAAAAGGCAGAGCCAACATCCTTTACCATAGATGACATTTTCTGGATATGAGCCACTCAAACTGAATTGTTGCACCACTCTGGCCTCTAACCTATTTTTTCTGTATTGGCCGTTTTTGAAAAAACAGTTTTGGAATGTCATTAACCCAAAAAGAGGGAGGAAGTCACACAAGTGCTGTACAAACATTTTTCAAGGAGCACGTTACAAAAATACCTGGGGGCCAACTGTTACTTCTGGGAAAGTCAAACATATGATTAAGTTTTACTTATATATGTATTATTTAAGTTATAAGATATTTATATTGATGGTTTTTAAAAGCATCATAAGTACAAACATGGAGCGTTTTCTGCTACATACCACGATATGATTATAAACTTGGGTTTGTACAACTTATGAGATCATAATATGTCTGGGGCCACATAAAGCCTGCTGAAGGGCCACATATGACCTTTGGCCTTAACAGAGTTGAACTAATAAACCTTAGAGAATGTCAGACATACCAGAAAGTATAATATATAATAGTAAAAGACACTGAGGAACACAAACACCTTTAAATATTAGCAGTGAGTCCTACTTGGATTAATTCATTGTGGAATGTTTCTACAGTAGAGGACTTTATCAGGTCAACCTGTAGCTGAGGTGAATTTATGTAGCTGAGATAGGATCACTCCCACTCCTGATATCTACGTTCTAAAAGACAAAAGCTAATTCATACATTCAAACAATTGTTCTATGTACCATCCAACTACGCCTGAGCAACATGTGAAACTCCCAGACATATCATAGCGTTGCCAGGAAGAGGAACACAGAGATCAGGATATCGACTAAGAAAAGAAGAATGTCTCTGATCAACAATTAGCTCTCTGTGCAGTGGAGTAAAATCTGTGATTTCAAATTTCTCTTTTTTACATTACAGCATTTGACAGACAGCAATGTCATTAACTCACCAACACAGCTAGTTGGTGGTTAGCATGACTACACTATCATAGGTAACAGTTTCAAAGTTGTGGCACCACCAAGTTAGAAGTGTAAAGTGTAACAAAACTAGGAAACTATATCCTCTACGGTCAGTGACTGATAACTGGTTTGGTGAATTCCTCATATCCTGTGGACAATCACTAGTCTCCAAGCCTTAAAAGGTCAGTTGCTTAAATATGTTTAGCGAATTAAAAGACACTATTTAATGCAAAACAAAAAACTTACGCCATGAGTGCTTGCTAATAAACAAGAGCAATACAACTGCATTCACAGCACCCCCTGCATAGAAGAAGAGATTTTATGTTTGTAAACAGTAAGAGAAAAAATGATATCATCTCCTCACTTCTTCATTTGTGCCAAACTGTACTTCCTACTACTTAGTAATTTAAACTGTTAAATGTATTAGCTTTAAGAATGGGAGATAGAAAAGGCTGGTGCCGTTTGTTAAAAGGTCTGATGTAACTCAGGTGAATGTCATCAGAATTCCTTTGAAGAGCAAACGTGACTGTGAAACTGGCCTTAGGGTTTACACACACACACCGGGAAGACAAACATGGTGCTGCGATACTTTGCTGACTTACTGGTTGCACAAGAACTGCACAGGATCAAGATAGTGATACTGAGAGGACACGCTACGAACAAACACATGATGTGTTGTACAATCAAAATGATAATGTCGAAGAGCAAAAGGAAAAGCATAATAACCAATGACTTTACTTAAGTACCAGAAGAAGTACTGTGTACTAAAAGGAAAAGCATAATAACCACTGACTTTACATAAGTACCAGAAGAAGTACTGTGTACTACAGAAACTTAGCAGGACATATTCTACACTCACATTTTATGGGGCAAAAAAAAAAATCTGACTTATATTTCAGAGACAATTTAACAGCAGTTCTCTTAAATTTTAGATTTGTTTTTTGACTGTGATATTTACAGCTACACTTACTTTAATATTGCTTTGGAATCTTCAGCTTGATTTATTCAACACTGAAAGTAATAGGGTAAAATTAAGTCTACCAAACTTCCAGTCTACATGCGCTCAGTGTTGCCTTTTCACTTCCAAATTGCTTCAATGAGATTAAAATAACTGAGAACATTTTTGCATACACAATTAATTATTCATGAACATGAGTATCTGTGGTGTAAATAAAACATGGGTTGTGAAAAATTAGCTTAATTTAAAATACCTCTGGTCTAGTCTGATAGAAACACGGTATGGTGTTTTTCCTGTCCATGTCATCAAAAATGTCCAGAATCAGATTTAAAATGGAATAAAATGTTGTTGCTTTGGAAAAGTCTTATTTCGTTTGTTTTTTACTGACCTAATTTCTGTGTATTGATTTAGGGCCTATTCATCCATAAAGAATAAGGATGAAGACTAGAAGAAACATCTGCACCAAAACTTACATTATTTTACTTTGCATACTGAAACAAAATACCTCTTAAAATGTTTATTCCTGATTTTCAACATTTTCTGATGGAGACTACAGTCCTTAGGCGTAATTATAAACAGGTTTCAGAGCTTCCCCAGACTTATTCTGGTATGAAACCTGGTCTTTTGTTCAATCCACAGATGTTGAGATTACATTCTGAGACTAGATCAGTGTTAGTGCAGGTCAGTCAGTAACATTAGCTGTGACCATTCAGAAAACGTTTCTCAACATCTTTAAAGTATTTTCCCAAATAACAAAACATGATCTCAGTCGTGCTGTCAGAAGACAAAACAACAAGATCCTGTTTTGTTCCCCACTCCCTACGGTGTTGAATCCAAAAGTGCTCATAAACTCCTCCATATTCATTTTTCTTATTTCTTTCAACTTTACATGATTCCCAGTTTAGAATGTACTATGGTCTCCACAAACCAATATATTCTGACCTCGGTACTAAAGTCTCCACAAACCAATATATTCTGACCTCTGTCATTCACTTTGGGGATAGAGTTTGTGGTTTTGCGTGGGACTTGCTGAAATGCTTTCAATGTACATTTATTCCTCATACTCTCATTGATATTTCAAATGCACCGTAACAGTGTCTCTTCAGCAGATGCGTGCAGAGATTTGTGCAGAGCTGTAGTGACCGTCTTTTTTGGATATTAAATTCCACAAGGGATTAAGTTAATCCCTATTCTTGTGGCAGTTTTCTAGTTCATATCTTTCAAGACTTCAGCAATATTTTATGTCCACATTGTTGTTCTGTACTGTTCTTTACATCTGGGATATTTTTTATAGTCCTTATATCGGTGACTTCTTTGAAGGCCTTAACTATCTTTTCCCCTTGAAGTATTTTGTTGTTGTTTTTAGGTTAATATTCTCAATAAACTCAAACTTAGTTTAAAGTTACCAAGTGCTAAATATGCCTGAAGGTTTAGCCTCAGGCACATTTCAATTCAAAGTTTGTGAGCTACTATATTAATGACAGGGAATAAGTAATTATTTTATGCACTGTCATATAAGGAGCTAATCGCAGCAGTTAGCAAGCAACAGAAGGGTTCACCCCACGGTAGCTGACCAGTCAGTGTGGGGGCCACACCAGGAACCAAACGACAAATCACTGGCATTTAAACCTAAGATTAACTGTGTTTAAGAATTAAGTCTTTAATAATTACCTAATACTGCAGGTATTGTTAAAATCCATAGACACTCACTCTTACTCAACACATTAGTCAGTTCCTGAGGTGGCTAAAGACAATTGGTATTTTAAGGTGTTTTTTTTAAATTAACATTATCTACGTATAAAATTAAAACATAGTGACATTGTGTTAGACACCGTCTTTGAGTTGTTTGACTCACTAAAACCTCGCATATCTGGTTTAAATCCTCAGTGAACGATAACATTCACAGAACTGTATTTGCTGGTTCTACTGGTTTTGTCTAACAGCTAAACGAATCATGGGGCTGCAAATGCAAACGCAAAGTAGCTCGGAATTTGAAATTTCCGAAACAATGTTTACAATTCTCAGAAAATATACTGTAACTTAAACACAGCCACCATAAATACACACCTTCTTTTCTGACAGAAGCAGCAAGCTACACACGTTTGGTTTATTTAACGCCACTCACTTTAAAAAAAAAAACGCGTGCCCGAAACTCTTTGTTCGTCGTTGTAGTTTTTTAACGAACAGCTGTTGGTTTCATATGACGAGGACTTGAATGTACAACAGTGTAAAGAAGCTGAGGAGACTCACCATCCTGCTGCTGCTGCTGTCGCCGCTCAGGAACTTCTCCACTTCACACAAACTTCGCACGGACACGGTAGTGCTAGGCATAATAACAACATTTATAACAATATTTGTAGCGATAATAATCCCGGGTTTGTGTGTTCAGAAAGGAAACGGCACGGTGTGGTTCGACGGGAGATTACGACAAACTACGACTAATCTAGTGTCCATGTTTGACCACGGTCTCTCTCCCTCATCTATTCACACACAGCCACTCAGTAGAAAAGCACTCAGTGACAGGACTGCCCTCTTCAACAGGCTGATCCCAAACTCCGCCCAGTATTCACTCTACAGGACGGCGTTGCCAGATATACAATAAATATCGCAGTTGTACTATTCTTTTGCGGTCAGTGTTATTGTATACGACGATTCCGGCCCTTATTCTCAAGGCTACGTTTATTGAAAAGCTCAACCGGTAAAAAAAAAACAAGCGCAGAACCTGCAAATTTGTACTGCGCTGGTTTTTTAAAACAGTTGTCACGCGACTCTTTACAGCCAATCGGCTGTCATCATTTAGCAGGTGGCGAAGTATGACGTAAACCTCGACGCGCGGAATAAAGTAACGAAATTAAAGCACAAAGTAGACCGTCGTGAGCTGCTTATAAATGTAGGTTAGGTTTATATGATATTTTTTGTCATAACACGATACTTCTTCATTGTTATCTGGCAACACTGCTCACAAGTAGATACAGGTCTGCCCCTGCAGTACGGCTAACTGTTTTGTAGCAATTAAAGTATTCTCTATATTGCTGACACAAAGACAGATAACAGCAGGTACTGTAGATGCAATTTGTTTCACACCCGTTTCTAAAATGATGGAACTATTAATATGGAAAGTTGCCAAGAAAACTATACGACAGTATAAAGCAGTATTTTCCTGTATTTGTAGGAATGGTGGCTTTTAGTTATTGATTTGTTTTTTTGACAGGAGCTCTTTGAACTTGTCGAGAGTTGCCTTTTAAAGCCATTTTCCTCAACCATATTAATCAGTCTATAGTCCATCGCAATCCATTTGACAACGGTGTTAGTTTCAGCTTGTCAGCCATAGACTTACTGCCCTTTGCTCAAGCTAGTATGACTCAAGACAGGTGTCTCACCAGAAGGTGCTGCCTACACAAAAGCTGGCCATTGAGATGGTATTCTAAGGTTAAGGGTTTTTATCTTGCAGTGTGTGTAAATAACATAACATGTTTATCGACAGTGAATTTATGGGGTAAACACAAACATATATTTATATAGATATATATATATATACATACATTAATAAATGTGTGTGTTTTACCTGCAAGAAAAATGCAGCCACACTGTAACAACTGTTGAACCCAATGCTCTCTTTTTTCTAAGGACAGAACCCAGAGCCTAGAACCACAGGGATACAAAGAATCTTCTTTGTGCACCGAACAATGGATTTCTAAGAAGAGCTGCTAATCTTATCAATTATCCGATCATCAAGTTTTAATGCGAGCCTCAATTAGCCCGGCTCATTCACTGGGTATCTGCAGCAGCATAAAGCTCATGGGACCTGCCTCATGTTCACCCATATCTGCAGGGTCCGGATTAAAAATTGATCAACACATGCTTTAAATGTACACTCTAAAGCCTTGTCTTTCACACTTGTCACGCCGTTGCCTCCTCCTTAACGTCACTTGACACGAAAAAAACAATAAGTCACAGGAGTAGCTACAGATTTTGCATTACTAATTCAAAACCAGCATGTAAACAATCTGCTGTATTTAGAGATGCAGGGGCCAGTTCCAGGAAGCACCCTGACCGACTTTTGGCAGTTCACCCTGTAAAACCTTGAGCACTACCACACACTTCCACCTGTATAGAGAATGAATGAAGCAAAAAGCAGCTGATCTAAGTATGACTAATGGCCATATAGTTTGGTAAATAGCAACAGAAACTTTGGATAAACTCAGTTGTGGCAGTTAAAACATGTTGGAAAGTCTTTTGGACAAAACAAGGTTGGTTTCATTGGGACCATGTGACCTGACTGGAGTTAACAAACAATACAGGCCCAGTATCCCCTTTCAGAGGACTGTGCATGTCAAAGGTCAACAGCTAATTAGATCATATAAAATCAAACATTTCTCATTTTAAACACCTGTAAAAAAAAGAACTGTTTTAGGCTGTTATCTTGAGATTAATATTTAGTTTTGAACTGGCAACTTTTTAAAGCTTTAAATACCGTTTTTGGTTTAAATGTAAGTTTTCATCTAATGATTTAAATCTTTTCTGTATTAATTGAAGTGTCATTTATATTTATGCCTATTTGAGAAAACCAATTATCTTTGTATATACTTAAATACCAACTCTTTTAGGTATTCTGGAGATGCTGTTTGTATAACTGCAAGTTGGGCCATTTGAATTTATTATTTTTTTTCTACATTACATGTTTTGATGGGTAACATTTATGAAGTCAAGGGTGAACCCGAGTTGTTTCCATTTCAGCCCTGTTACTTTCATCTAAAAGCAGACAGACCAGATTGGCAGCTAAACTGTGACGAGTTGAAACACTGTATGGAACAAAATAAGGTGTCTTAGAAACTGAAAAACAGTGCAATTCCATAAAACCAGAAAGTGCTACAAAAACAATGTCCTTCATAATTCTTTAAGATGTGTTCCACAACGACTGAGATCAACATGTACTTTAGGCTGGTCACGCCTGAATACAGCTCCAGAAACAAATACCGTGGAGCTGCTCCTCTGATTGTCAGTGATGATGAGAATCAGAACAGAACCATAATTGGTTAAATGACAGAACTACCACAAGTATTTTTAATGTCAAATGACACATTTGTTTCTCCTTTGTCCAAAAGACTGAATCCAAGGTATTACCAAGTGCTGCCCAATGTAGCCTTCTTGGTACATTCTATATACACATATACACACAATGTTTCAATTCCACGTGAATGATCGTCCATGATGGCAAAGAGATGACGCCGCCATTTCCTTTGGATTGGCAAGCTATTTTGAAAATAAAAGGTTTTAACCTTCAGCAATAATAACATTTCACAAAATCAGTTCACATTATGACAAGATATATTTCTTCATAATCCTAAGAAAATAAAAAAGCATGGTCATGTATGAAAGCAGTGAAAAACAAAGCACCCAGACTTCTTCCAAATACAAATTTGATCTGCAGAAAAGCCTTGGAGAAAATTTAGCATAAAATCCCATGTACAATAAAAAGCACTATCATATACGTATGTTTTTCCTGAACCGGCAGATGTTCATTTTGTCCACTTTATCAGTCTTGCGCCACTTCTGGTTGCAGCAGAGCCAGAGGTTGGAGCAAATGAAAATGAAGAGAAAACTCACACAGGAGGCAGTCTCATAAATAAAGAAGGTTGGAACTGTTCAGTGACCAGTCTGCAAAACCGAGTTCAGCAGTGCAGTGTTGAGATTAGGTCTGCAAAACCTTCTGCTTTGCTGGCAGTCGAGTTCAGCAGTGCAGTGTTGAGATTACTCCACACCACACGAGGTCAGACGCCTTCAGAGAGCGGCTGGCTGTTGTAATCAGTGGACTCCATTTTCAGGATGTAGGGGATGATGCTGTCAATCTGCACGTTGCCAATGAGGCCAGCGAAAAACAGCTCCTCTGTTACTGCTGCACTTATGAGCCGAAGGGCTGGGAGACGCAGCAGCAGCTTGGACAACCTGTGAAAAATGATGGAGAAAGAGGACACGGGAGGTGACATTTTTTAAATATTTAGCAGGTAGCTCCAAGATACCCTCGCAAAGCTCATGACTCCGAGGCAGTTCTGTCTTGCGTTCTGTTCACTTGAGTATAAAAATAAGCACTTACCTATAGCAGTCCTCAGGGTAGGTCGTGGTTACGTAATCCTGAAGTTCCATGTAAGCCTTTTCCTGAAACCTCTCAATCTGTGGGGTGTTATTAATGCCGGGGTGATCTGGCAGAAAAACAGTGAGGCACGTATGAGAATCTATTTGTGCCATGTCATTTTCATCGACTAAACTGTCCAAAAGTGTCTGCGTACCTGGACTGAAGAGGACGATGGCTTTGAGGTATGCATATTCAAAAGAGTCTGGTGACAGTATGGACATGCTGTTACAGAACTCCTGCATCCTCCAGATGTGCTCCATCACCAGCTTCACCCGGTCTGGAGACAGCTTATCTGTAAAAAGAAGCATGTGAGGAGTCAAGAATATGTGAATGTTTTTTTTAAACAAATGTGCCTATTGTGTTGAGTCACAGGAAAAAAAAAAATGTGCCTATTGTGTTGAGTCACAGAATAACCTGAAAAGGTCTTGAGCTTTTCCAGTGGAGAGCTCTGAAACCCCAATAATATTTTCTCTATTGATTGAGTATACAACCCAATGTAACATGTTTACTGATGTTTTACATCATCCATAAATGTCTAATAGTTTGTAGCGGAATAGTGGGATAATTGTAGTGGAATAATAATAGTGGAACTAATCCCAGTTCTCTTTCATAGGCCCATGATTTTTGACTTTTTTTTTTCTTGAACACAAAACATTTCGCAACCTATTAAACAAACATAAACTGGTGTTTTTCGGTGTTGATGTGCAATATCGGTCATAATGTCTTTACAACAACCGAGAACCAAACAATAGAAAAAGACCATGAGTGAACCCACACAGACTTAAGCAACATATGCAATTTATTCAAATTTGCCTTAGGTTTTTAAACTTGCTCTGCAAGAATGTACTACACATTTTTATTTCCATTACTTTTACATTTTTAAAGCAGGCAACATTGGAGCCATCGTACCTTCTTGTAAGCTTGTCTGCAGATGCTGGACGATGGCAGCTAAGATGGTACCAACGTTCATGATGTCTGAACACTGAGCCAAACCCAGAGCGAAGAGTTCATTCCAGCAGGCCTTCATTAAGTTGATGTCATTGTCTTCTCCACTACAACACAGAGTAAGATGGGATAGGTAAAGAAAAGATTAACAAGAAATGACATTTTCTTCACACGACACTTTGTCTCTACATGCTGCTTTTTCATTCACTTTATACATTATATCTTGAGTAGACCATTTTCTTATGGTTGTGCTTACGCTGAATACGGTAACAGGGACTTACAAATGCATCCACAGTGCTGGTAATTCACATTGTTTGTCAGCAGCTGGTTAACTGATAATGTGTTATCCACGATGAAGTCTAATAATTACAAGACAAGGACCAAACTTACCCAAGCGTCTGAAAGGCAGGTATGGAGCGTGCCCAGTGCATAGAGAGAAACAGTAATCTGGAGGCCGACTCACAGATGTAGTTGACGTTCAGGTACTCTGGCACAGGTAACGGCATTACAAGCTGTCGGGAACAGATTGCAGAGCAGAGGAAGCAGATGAGCTGTCAGCTTTGATCAGACAAATGATCTGATTAAACTGAGCTCAATTTTATGGTCTCGGGATTTGTTTCCAAGTATGGAGAATTAGTCATGCTTTTACCTTGAACTGAATATGACTGTCAGAGAGCAGAGGTCCCTCCAGCTCCACTACAGTCCCGGACTGGTCACCCGACATCAGCTGCATCGTGGCCTCCAGAGAATGTCTTACTGCGACATCACCAGGGTGCAGGACTTTAGCCAGTGAGTCAAAAGCTCTGGTGGTGAAACATGAAAGCTTAAAAAGATTTCCTCACCTACACTGTAACAAGAAATACAGGACAAAACTCTAGGTATTCCTGACAGTTTGCAGCTCAATCTAATTCTTACGCACACAGAACCGCAAATCGCTTTAAATTACAAACCACCGGCCGTTTTTGGATGCCCCATTATTCCATGCGTCATCTCGCTCACCGAGTAATTTCACTTGCAGTTTGTTCATCTCCGTGCATGTCTGTCATGGAGCTGTCGCCATTGCTCAACGTTTCAACTCCCATTAGATCACTGCCGCCATCACTGGCCTCCCTGCTCTTGTTGAGGTGCGCGAGGGAAGATACTACATTAGCCAGAGTTCCAAGGTCACCTTGCGAAGGATGCTCCTGTGAATAAGGAAAAACAAATCACCTTTACAGGTGCTTTTTCTCCCTCTCAGTGATTTCATTTTTGTTGTATTAAAACTTAAAACATATTCAAGTGCATGTATTGTTGGTGAACTGTAGTGGTACTCATAGTTCAGGTCATTACCTTTTCAGGGGAGGTTGGGATCAAGATGCTGTTTTCCAGCTTGGAGAAAGGTTGTTGGATGTTAAGCAACATACTTGACTCGAGCAAACTCGTTGACCTGCAGTTTACAATAAATGTTATTGTATTTTACTGTTCATTACAGAAAATTACAGACTGATCCTTCCTAGAGAAAAGACACGGGGGATGAGAGGGTCATCTTAACATTTATAAAAAAAACACCACTAAAATGTTACAGTTGAAAATAAACGAAAGACATTTCCTGCAGAGAACAGAGTGTCGTGAACAGCTTGGATCAATAACATTAAGACTGTTCTGTCACTATTTCAACAAGGAAACGGTGTCAAGGGGAACCATCGTAATGGAAAGCGGAACAAAGTCCGAATTCACCCAGAACGCAATCATAACAAAACCTCAGTGTTTGCTATTCAGTTATTTGTTAATAAATTAACTTTGTGACTCATTCCTTTTTTTTTCAATAAAATAAATGTACTGAACTGTAATGTTGACACCAATGAATACACACAACTACGGCTTTTCCATACAGTTAAACTCCTAAAACATCACCTTTCAAGATGATTTGAGGTGAATAAGAAGAGGCCAGATCGTTGGGACAGACTCCAAAAAATGTAAAAATAGAATATTATAAAGAATTGGAGTCTATTCATTCTTAACAGATCTAGGTTATGTTAATATCCTAACTCAATCTTTTTTTCATATATTTTTTCTGCGTATACTACATTAAGTCTGAAACACAACAGTAGAAATTTATCTCAATCTTTTTTTCATATTTAATTCAGACTGCTCTGTGTATACTACATCAAGTCTGAAACACAACAGTAGAAATTTAAGTGTGATAAAACTTTACAGCAATTTTGTACCTGGCAGTTTCTTTGTCGGACACAAACGTGGGTTGGGCAGCCAGAGGGCTACACAGGTTCTTGCGGATGTAGATCTTCTCAGTTGATGCAGCACAGTTCATAGATTTCTCTCTGGCATTTACTTCCACTGGCTTCCTCTCACACTGCACAGCTTTAGTATAAAAAAAACAAAAAACAGAAAATTGTTTTAGTGTAATTAAATAATTGTCTCACCTGGAATAAATCATTTAAATCTCTTACAATCTTGTTTCATGCCCAGAGCTATACAGCGCTGCAGCCGACAGTACTGGCACCGATTCCTGTGAAGTTTATTGATGGCACACTCTCCAGAGCCTCTGCATGTGTACACCAGGTTTTTCCTAATGCTGCGTTTGAAGAAGCCTTTACAGCCCTCACAGCTGACTGCACCGTAATGACGCCCTGACAGAAATGAGCAAACAGAGTCCAATCAGAAAAGCAAGGGATTTAAAGATTAAAAATAAAACATTACTAAGAATACATCTGTTGAAAAGCCGAAGATATGCATATTCGGCCTCTACTTTGTGTGTAAATAAAGATTTGTCAAGTTATTTAAAAACAAATGTTGAACAAAGAACAACCACACTGTGTCCCTTTAAGGGACACAGAGCTCCGTTCTTGTTTGGTTTATGTTTCTTACCAGAAGCTTTGTCACCACAGACAACACAGTACTCCACAATAGGCTTCAGAACAGACTGGTCTGAACCATCAGTAACAAACTGAAAAACAAATACAGAACAAATTTAAAAAAAAAAACCCATCATCCATGGTGTTTTTATTCTCAATTTCTTTATAGAACATGACATTAGAAGGACACAAATATCCCATGGCAGTACCTGGATCTGCTGTCCAGCCAGATCAGGGGATGCAAACAGCAGCTGGTTGACCCCAGAGCCATCTGGAGCAGCCAAGATGACCTTGTTGGACGTGCCTTCCTGCTTGGTCAGGATCACCTTCCCACCGGGGGAATACTCTGCATTGGCGAGAATAAATTGCTGCTTTCCAGGAGAGGAGGGCTCAAGTGCTGTGACTATCTGGATCTTCTGGCCCGTCTGCTGATCTGTTACAATCTTTTGGAAATTAAAGATAAACCCAAACATTAGCTCAAGCAAACTGGAGTTGACTTTTGTAGAAAGCCAGGCCATCAAAATAACCAATACAATTATAAAATGCAAACAGTCTGTCTCCAATACGTTCATTAATTAAACAGATACGGTTATAAAGGAAACAAACTTTAACATCTTAAAGTCAGGTCAGTAACTGTTGTAAAAAAAACACAAGCTGCTCTAGGTCACATGTTATACAGAGAGTTAAATCTTCCAGCCCAGTGAGCCTGATGGGATACTGAACAAGCTGCTCTAGGTCACATGTAATACAGAGAGTATTAAATCTTGCAGCCCAGTGAGCCTGATGGGATACTGAACATTGATTTAAAGAAGAGTGGAGCTCAGAGAAACAACTAAAATCGCAGTCAGTCAGTTTGGAGAAAAACAACGATGGGTTTATATCAACACAACCAAACGCAGCATCACAGCACCTGGATTCTGTGTCCTAAAGCCACGTTGTTGTCCGCAGACACAAGCTGAATTCTTTGAGTCTGTCCATCCATTCTGATGTTTCAAACACTTTTTTTCACCGTTTTTCACATCGGTGCTCACCTAAAGGGAGAACAAAAGACATGTTAAGACTGTTAAAGTCCAACAGTTCACAAACATAACCACGTCACATCACCCCGATTCTTTGCAGGAGGTGCTATAAAAACCGTCTAGTTGCCTAAACTTGTACAACTTTATTATGTTACATTAGTCTAACCCTCTAGTTCACTTGAAGCAGAGAAAAGATACATCCCAAATACATTTCGGATTGAAGATTAGCAGTCATTTTAATGATAGATGATAGATGTCCGACAAAATATCCCATGATTAGCAGTCATTTTAATGATAGATATCCGACAAAATATCCCATAGAGCTTCACAGTTTCGTGGAGCTGAAATAATGTTACAGCATTTATAATAGCAACTTGATTTTATGCATAGGTTTGAAGCGATCATCCGTCTTCTCTAAGCTTCAACTAGGCCTCTAGTTACATAAGGTGGCACCTACCGAGGACACTTTCCTCTTTAGATACTGTATACATTATGAATAATTCAACCCAGAAGCATTTACAAAGCTAAAGAAAAATATATCCAGGTAAAGTGTTGTGTACTCTGATAACAAAGCACAAGTATAACCCATGAAGAGTGACTAAGGAGATGTAAGGGGAAAAACAAAAACAAATACAGTATAACTGTACTTCCACATTTTATTTGCAAAGCCAAATTAAGTCATTTATTTTCTGTTATTCACTTGCTGAACATTGATTGTGTGCTACTGTGGCACTGACCTACAATAACCTACAAAGCAAGGCAGTGAGAGCATGACATGATGATGGTTGCAAACAATGATCAGTGCCAAAAGTAAAATAAGCTTTGAAAACACCTCAAGGTAGAAGTTTGGCGTGAACAACAGTGTTGATTTGTGATGACCCGTCTAAGTGGTTAAATGCCTGTAACACTGGATGCATGACAAACAGAAGAACTGTGTAAAAACAAAACAAAAAAACCCTCTTGTTTTTCAGTCTTAACTGGGCCATGAAAGTTGCTACATATTGGGTTTTATTTCTGTCACTTAAAGGTTACCAGCATCATAACAACAACAACAACAACAACAACAACAACAACAGGACTTAGTAAGTAAATCCCTTTTTGATTCACTGGTTGCAATGTGATTTTTTTAGTGATTTACTGGGCACCTCTAGTAAAGATAGATATACTTTAATAATGGGAATTGTACTGAGGTTTTTGTTTATAGTTATCTGATTAGTCATAATGTGAAAACAAAAATGGGTGGTAGAAACCTTTCAATACTATTTACTAATATAATCGTAGTAATATAATCAATATAATCATACTAATATTTCTTTCACCACAATTCATTAGCTCACTTGTAGCTCAAGTTTACTAATATAATCATAGTAATATACTCATACTAATATTTCTTTCACAACAATTCATTAGCTCACTTGTAGCTCAAGTAAAGGAAAATATGATGTAAGCATATTCAGAACAATTTCGTATATATTAAATTGCAGTATCACTCAATCATCAAAATATTTGCATCAATATTTGTATCGGTCTTAATTCTAAATATTATTTTGTACCTAAATCTGTCTGTTTGTTCATCATCTCTCAATAGACACCCAAATACAACCACACGATTACTTATTCTGCAAAGAGGTCATTACGTTATTAAAACGTAATTAAACGTATATCTGTTGTTGGGACACCGGTTCAGAAACGTATGTATATACATACATAAAGAGTTTACAGGTAATATTGAATATCGCGGTAGTTCTGTGCCCTGTGCTAACCAAGCTAAACGAAGCTAGCGCCTAACTGCATTACAGGTAGCTTAAAATCACTTAAAACACATTTAAAGTCACTATGCATGAGCGACTGTACTGCAGTAAAAACACAACCGAACTGTAGACAGTCACCCACTTGGAAACAAATGCGGAAGATAAAGGTATTTCTTTTCCTGTGGGTGAAAGGTCAACATTGAAGGGTTAAAGAATGCTAGGGTTAAAGGCCTTTGATACCGACTCGTCTGCAACTCGGCGGGCTTTGCGTTTAACAATATTGGCCAAATAACGCAAACATTTTAAAAAGACTTTGGGATTTTCTGACCACCGCGGCGGTATAGCAGATATATAACCATCACACACTACAACAATCGTTTTTTAAATCAGCGTGGTTGATAAGGTTTGAGTTCAGTTAGCATATAAGCTACAACGGCTAGGGCTGGCTGGGCTAAGGAAATTAGCTGCCTTGCGCGCTAACGACGCCGATTGTCACCCGATTTCTTTCTACCGTTAGATAAGAAAACATCGCGTTTTTGGTCCTTCTAAAGACGTATGTTACTGGATACCTGTCGAATGTGGGACGTCAACCCCGTGAGCCGAACGGAAATGTTAACTTACTAGTCTGGTCTCTGCTAGCAGGTGGCTAATGGCAGCTTCCTTGTTGCACAGCCACTCAACTCTCGCCCTCCTTTCTGGTGTTCTCGACCAGCCTAGTCTCCTTCAAGAACCACTTATGCGTCAACATCAGGAATTGTTTCTTACCCGTCGTAAAGCCTGTACGCTGAATAAAGTATTTCTTTCAAAAATTTATATTTTATCAGTTTGCCTCTGTTGGTGGGAGGGTCAGAGTTCGTGACCTTTTTTCATAAATACATGACTCCGCGCATGCGCTGTAGGAGGATAGCGCTCCCCTCAGCATGCGCCGTAGTGTGAGGGTGTAACGTCTTAACAGTGACGTTCAATTTGGTAATCATTATTGAATCGTCATCCATGGCATCGTATGGCAGTAAAAGCTTATGAGAAGAATCCGAAGACAAACATTAAATTTAGATTAGATTTAGATTGTTTCATTGCACAATACTGTATTTAATATTATCAGTAACATTAGTTTAATTTACATTTTAGAAATTGTATTTCAATTCAATGCATGATTGTGTGCTTATTATTTAAACAACAGATGCAAACAAAACAACATTTATTACATGTAAATCAACAGATGCAAAACAAAACAACATTTATTACATGTAAAATTAAGCCGTAAAAAACGCTACTCATATGTACATTTCAGTTAAAATTATAATTTTTTACAAATTTAGACTTGTGTAGAAAATTTATGTGCAGTTATTTTGATGCAGTTGTGCTATTAACCGAGAATAAATCCCAACATATGCAACATACAATGCTTATTCTACAAGCACGGTGAGAGTAGAACATTTTTCTGTACAATCCAATTTAAAGGGGTTTGAAAACAACAGAAAAAATGCAGGGATGTTTTTTAGCAACAACAACTTATATGATAACATCATATTTTGTTGAAATAAAGGCAGGGGTTTATCCGAAAAATATGTTGTGCTAATGAGCTCCAAGAAGATTACCATGGAGTTAAAGAGACACATTTCAAATGTTAAAGGTATTTTTGATGGAACAGATTTACTTTGATATATCACGGCACAGCTCTATGCAAGTGCTTAACAATGTGAATATACAGTTTATAAGTTGAAAAATATGTATGTACTAAAGTTAAATCAAATGTACAATATATACTTCTAGCAGCACTAACATAAAACAAAAGAGTTTGTAAAAGTTAAGACATCAAATGTACACATTTTAAATATGTTACAGTATAGTGGCTTCTTTGAATGAGTCGATCCATCTGGGGAAAAATAATAACAAACAATTACAGAAAATATAATTATTGCCATTGCATGTAAGTATGAGGTATAAAGTCCCCCAATATACTGTACCTCTGGGCTGTCTGAATGTCATCGGCTTTAAATCTGTAGTAAAGTGTGTGTTTGTGGTAGAGCCTGAACTGCAGTTTCTGAGATGAATCTTCTTTCAACACCAATCCCAACAGAGGCTGACTCTCTAGGGCGGCGACATCCTTCGTGAAGAAAAGGTTTAAAGACGGTTAAAGACGGTCATACATGTCTTAAAACAGTGATCGTAAGAAGTTGTACCGCTAAATGAGCATTCACCTCACTTGCTGCATACACGTACAGGACTTTGTCCTTAATGACAAACCACAGCCTCTTGCCTTGCTTCTTATTACCCTTGGACTTGAGAAGATGGAGATAACCACTAATGGTAGAGTTGTCTGTGTTTGCGGACACCTAAAACACAAAGCACAAAAAACAAATGACATTTCCCGTCATGAAAAGAAAGATGTCCTAAGCAGGAAACAGTGTGAGCCACCTCTTTGAGTGCGGCAGGTATTTTCTTCTGCTTCCTGGAAAAGGGAAAGGCAGTTTTGCTCCCAGGAGACACCACTGCGGATTGTGAGGTTTCACCTGATGAACAGAAAAAAAATGCAGGGATTAGACACAGAATAGTGCACCCATGGTGTCACAGACTTTTTTTCTTCTTTTTTTGTTTACAATAAATAATAAATATAACAGTTTTCTGTCCGTGTAATAAAATGTTTGAAAGTCAATCTTACTCTTTTGCTGCTGAAAGACATGGAAACACTGGTCGCACACACGTGCCAACTGGTTCTTCAGATATCTAAGGCGGTGTTTGTGGGATGAACAGGACTGACACACCACCTGATAAGGGAACAGTGATCAGTCATCAAGGAAATGGACATACCTAATTATCTGTCTCTTAGATATTCTATGTAAAATGACAAAAACATTTTTTTCAACACATCAGTTGATTTGGTCCACTTTACTTTTCCACAGGCTCTGCAGTGGTGTCTCCTCCAAGTCAGGGAGAACTCACAGGTGCAGATCATACACATAGTGGTCCGCAGGTCAGGGATCCATATTGGGGCCTTGGATCCCAGTGGACCCGCAGCATCTGGGTCCTGAGAATCATCCTAGAAATGTAGAAACACAAACATTAGCATTTCTGCTCATACATTAGCATTCGTATAGACTATAAAAACGATGGGGCTTGATTTTTAGCTAATTGTTTATATTTGTATGGGGCTTGATTTTTTGATTTTTAGCTAATTGTTTATATTTGTCATGGGGCTTGATTTTTTAGATTTTTAGCTAATTGTTTATATTTGAAAAAACAAGTATTCACTGTAGGTTGTATCTCTGTGTACTGTACCTCTTCAAAAGGTTTTCCAGGTATGAAACTAATCTTCTTTTTAGTGAATTCATCAATGGCTGTGGAAATGGCCTCCAGCCAATCATCTCGCTCTGTAGCTGAACTGCAGGAAGAGGAAACAAGAAGTTCATGACAAAACTTTGTTCAAATACCTGAATTAAAAAGAACTAACTCCGTTATATGAAGATTACCTGGCGTAGAGAATAAAGGAGCGTTCCACACTCTCGATGTTGAGCTCATTCTGATAGGCCTCCTGATTTGGTTTGCAAACCTGGAATTCGTTTCACAGTTAGCTGTGTTGACATTACGTCAACTGTGGATGGAAAATACACCAAGAAATGAGAAGTTCTCACCTTCATCCCTGCCAGAGACAGCATGTTGTTTAGCTTATACTGGCCTGACTGAACTGGAGTGGTGTACAGCAGCATATCGTTAAACTACAGGGGAAAATAACACATTGTACAACGTTGTGTCACTTCTGATCCATCAAAGAGACGTCTGGGCACAATAAAATCTGTTTGTTTTTATGATCATATTACAATGGCAGGAATTGAAAAAGTGGGCTGTGTCATACCAGAAAGAACATTCTGGGTTGCATGATCTTCCTCGACAGCTTCATCAGGATGCCCTCCTTCAGAAAGGACTAAAGGGAAAAAAACCAAGATAGAAGAAAAAAGACAGCAAGTTTACTATTTATTGAGACACATTGTTATTTCCTTAGAATATAAAGAGACAATGAAGCACTTGTATAATAAAAGTTTGAATTAGTATTTCTGGGATTGGCTCCAGTCCTACATGACGCTCAATTATTATATCTGGGATTGGCTCCAGTCCTACATGACCCTGAAAAGGATTAAGCCAGGGGTGTCAAACTCATCTTCACCGGGGGCCACATTAGCAATACAGTTCCTCTTCAAGGGTCAGTTGTAAATGGAAGACTGTATAGATAAGGGGTTCCCAACCCCTGGTCTGCGGACCAGCACCAGTCCATAGGTCATTTGGTACCAGGCCGCAGTGGGACACAGTGAAAAAATGTACTTAATATTTACTGATTTATTTAATTTAAAGAAAATCCCATCATATCCATTTACTTTATTCATTGAAAGATATTCTGGCAATATTTTAAAATAAAGGGTCATTCAGACTCTGTTACAAACAGAATAGAGTCTAAAAGATGTTTTATTTTGAAAATGTAATGATCCTTTAATGCTCAGTACCTTGCTACCAGTCTGTAGTAACAGCTGGTACTGACCAGTCCATGGAACAAAAAAGGTTGGGTTTCTGGGCAATTGATTATTATTTGATTGATTATAAAAACTTTTAATTTCTTAGGTTAAGAAACTCTGCTGCATGGACTTTAAAAAATGCTTTTTAAGCTCCTGTGGGCCACACGAAACGGCTTGGCGGGCCACATTTGGCCCCCGGGCCTTGAGTTTGACACGTATGGATTAAGCGTTAGAATATAAATGAATGAATATATCTCAGGTCTTACCCTCCCAGGCTGGACTATCTCATGGTGTTAAGCGATAGAATATAAATTAATGAATATATCTCAGGTCTTACCCTCCCAGGCTGGACTATCTCATGGTGTCCTTTTAGACTGCCCTGCACCTGGATCAGTTTTTGAAATTTATCCTGATATTAAAAATGAAAAAAGAAACAAAAAAAAAACAGGGATCAGCACCTTGTTTGGAACATTTAGGTTTCATTTTCTGATTGTAATGCCTGTATTCATACCCCTTGTTTGATAATGTCGTTAGCATGATTGGCAACCTCTTTCACCAAAGCCAGCGCAGCTGAGTGGAGAGAAAACATTTGTATGAATAATGTACCATACATGTACACTACAACACAAATCCAATCCACCGACACGATCCTCTGTCATGTGTGGTCTTGTTTTACCTTGTGTGTCCTTGTAGTCAGCTGAATGTTCAGACAAGTTTTTCAGATAATCTTAAAAAACAAAAAGAAGTACTTTAGGTTTTGAAACTTAGGGTTCTAAGTGTTCCTCAGTGTATGAATTCCTAAATCCACAACCCAGATAATAAGTTCTACACGTTCTTGTATCATTGTTCAGGCCAACGGCTCGGGATTTGCATTCTTTACATTCACTGAGGGATCAGCCCTCAATAATAACCAATATTAGACTCATGACAACATAATCTCTTATGGTATGTTTATGTAACCATTGTGTAACTAATGTCAATTAAAGTAGTCACCTGGAGTGCTGTGGTATTTATAGTGTTATTTCCCTCCCTCCCCAGCATGTGGTGCTATAAAACCTATTGGCGTGACATCATGGTACAATACTGTTACGTTATATAAGTGAACCCTCAACAAGGTCAAAGCATTTTTACAAGGAAGAGAGTAATTAATTTAGCTTCAGCTAAACCTTTTATTTATCATTTCTGTGTCTATACATCAATGATTTATACGGTAGAAATAAAAAAGAACAGCTCTTGTCCTATAACGTCAAGATGTAACTACTCCTCTTGTCCCACCAGAGGGCAGCATACCTACAACTACCCATCACAAGCTGGTAAAACATGCAATCGAGCAGGGCTAAAACTACCAGAACAAACGGGGTTTTAATAAAAGCACGTCTGTGACTTAATGGTGTGGTAAAACAGAAGTACCTGTGAGCAGCAGCTGATACTGAGGAATCCTCTGAATAGGCTTTAGCAGGTAGTGCTTCAGCGCTAAGCCAGCGCAGCGTGGAGTGGCCTTAAACACAAAGCCGCAAGTTTTATAAAGGACAACACATATACGTGCATAAATAAGGAAGTTTCATTTGGCCCACAGTGACATTCCCTCCCTACCCAGACAGAGAAAACAGGTCAAACAAGCGCCGTTAAATTCACCTCAAATTCACGCACTACAGCTGCGAACGCCGGGTTCCTCTTACACTGCTCTTCCAGTAGAGCCACATTCTTGTCAAACTCGCGGATGTATGTGGAGTACATCTTCAGGTACGGACCCTTCTTCAGGAAAATGTCTGCAATCTGTGTATTCTCCTCCCTGTACACAGAATATAATGTCAGTATGTTCTGTATGTGACACTAAAACGTTTTGACATAATATCACATGACAATTGGGGCAGGGTATGGGGGTTCACGGGCTGGAATTGGCCCGCAGGCCGGGAGTTTGACGCCCATGATTTAGAGCATACGTGTCAAACTCAAGGCCCGGGGGCCAAATGTGGGCCGCCAAGCCGTTTCGTGTGGCCCGCAGAAGCTCAAAAAGCATTTTTTAAAGTCCATGCAACAGAGTTTCTTAACGTAAGAAATTAAAAGTTTTTATAATCAATAAGCTCAAAAAGCATTTTTTAAAGTCCATGCAACAGAGTTTCTTAACCTAAGAAATTAAACGTTTTTATAATCAATCAAATAATAATCAATTGTAGAAACATGTATAAGTCTTTTATGGAGTAGTTACATCTATACCAGCGGTACCCAACCTTTTTTGTTCCATGGACTGGTCAGTACCACATGTTACTACAGACTGGTAGCAAGGTACTGAGCATCGAAGGATTATTAAATTTGATTCAAAATAAAACATCTTTGAGACTCTATTCTGTTTGTAACAGAGTCTGAATGACCTATTATTTTTAAATATTGCCAGAATATCTTTCAATGAAGATGGGATTTTCTTTGAATGAAGTAAATTAGTAAAAATTAAGTACATTTTTTCACTGTGTCCCACTGCGGCCCGGTACCACATGACCTATGGACTGGTACTTTTCCGGGTGGTTCCCCAACAGTGAGACAAGACCACCTTGTCTTGTTACCACCTAAAACTGAACGAGTGACCTCTTAACACTCCTCCACTATGTCAGCCAGGCATAACTAATAGTAGAATTATGAATTTTTGGCAACAAAACCCCCATGTTAGACCATGGCCCTATAAAGAGTGTTTAGGTTGGTTTATCAAAAAGTTATTAAAAACAAACAAAGAGATAAAATGTCCAGGGAAATTTGGACACGATTCATCATTATGAATGATCACAAACGTCAAAGCCCACGTTAAAGATGTTGTCGTACCATGTGGCCAGTCTCAGCCTCAGCTCCTTGAGCAGGTCCTGGTTCAGTTCAAAGAGTTGAGGGAGGGAATAGAGGATCTGGCTGAGGAGACGTTCCTCTATGACAGGTTTTCCATTCTGATGAGCTGCTTTAGACACTGCATCACGAAAGTCCTTTTAGGGAAGACAATTGAACAAATATTAGCTGATTAATTACAGGAAAAACAAAAGCTCAGGACTCACTTAACAATCAGGACAGAAGCGGCCATTTCTGTTTCTGACGACATGGACAACATTTCTGCTTGGTTTAAGGGGAAACACAGTAAATAAAACCAGCTGGGCAGCTGGGAGAGATCTCCTGTGGTTCACGTGTGTCGTCTCTTTCTTCTGCAAATGCTGACAGTGGACGAGGTGGGTCGGAAGATATGAGAAACAGTCGGGTTGATTCATACCTTCAGGGGACTGTATCAAACCTATGAACCATCAGTAAAATATTTAACATTACAGTCAAGCTAACTACTCAACTCGTTCTAATTACGATCTCTGATCCTGCTTACTGTTCGCCTCTCTAATGTATTTGCATAAGGTATTATGCCATTGACTATTACTGCTCAATTTATGCCTGTTTAAGTAGCTTTTTCTTGTTGTTTTTATATTTTCTCGTGAGGACATGAAGAAGATCTGAAAGGACACTTTGAATGAAACCTATGTGAGGACATGAAGAAGATCTTGAATGAAACCTGTTATTTGTATTAGTAGTAGTAGTTTCTAATTGACGTTATTAGTATTAGTAGTAGTAGTTTCTAATTGACTGCTTGTGTACAAACCCTTCAGTACTAACTAGGGGTGTTGATATTTGTCTTATCCCTCCTGTACTGCATGAATACCAGTTGGTGCAGTACCAACAGCGTGTAGAGTATTAGCTGGACTATCCGTTTACTGGAAGTCGGCTGAAAGTCTGGCTTAGATGAATGAACACACACTAAGTCATCCCCACATTCTTGCTGCGACTGTTCCTCATTACTGGACCCCACTCACCCTCACCAGCTCAACTACTTCCTGTCTGGTCAGCACTTGTGACTCAGTCCTACTATGAGTGTTTTTTTTTTTTTAATGACCTCAGTGTTTCCAAATATCTGCGCTCATCGGATCCCATAAAGGACCTTTCAGTTAAAATAAACACTAGCTTACACCCCCGCGCCACACCGGCTCATATGACAGTATGAGTACTTTGATATATTTCACAATACAACGGTGTAATGCTTTCCTTTTGCATACTCTGTACACTGTATGATCATACTGTGCGGTGCAAACGTTTTAGACAGGGGTTGACGGTACAAAACAAAACGTCTCTCTTTTCAAGTGTTTCACACTTACGTAGTAAACTGAAATGTCTTTCTCAACAACATTAAACCTTTTGTAGGCAGTTTGGAGGTAATTCGGTAATACGTTTAAGAAAATTAATTAAAATGTGGTTTTCAGCCCACTTCCTAAGAACTGTTACTGGTTGAGTCACCCCCTGGAGCCAGATAACACGCCGGTTTACTGCTGGTCTCTGGTCCACTATTTCGGAGCCACTGATTCTTGTCTCTGCAGGCTTTGGTTCCCATGTTGCAGCTGTAATGTCTAATGTCTAAACCTAACGCCACCGTGAGGCCTGCACCAGTGGTTTTGTGAGCAATGCTTCGACAGCCATTAAATGGATAATCCTCCTGAAGCTTCGCACGCACAGGACATTCTTGGTTCCCACAAAATTAACCACAATATCGTGGCACTGCTGCCAGCTGTACAGTAAATACATTTGTCTTGAAAAGTTCCAAAAGTGAAGGCCCGTAAATAGCAAAGGGGAACTCCACTGTCTGCAAACAGAGTTCAGTTGGAATTGAAGGCTCTGGAAAAAACTGCTTCTCACCCATTTTACAACATCAGATAACAATTTCTGAGTGCATCGTGGTCTTTCTCAAATCTGTACCGTACGATCCTATTTAGATGATAACAGAAGATAAAGCAGAGTAGACTATTTTGAAGCTTCAGTCAAGGACCTTTTTAAAAAGCATTATGCTATTAGGTTCTAGGAATATGTACTCCTCTTTGTATCACTAATATCCCAACTGGTCATTTCTGTCCATTACCAGGATGTAATTGTTATTATGTAATAATGCTCAAAAGGACAGATTTACCCAGTGATTATTGTCCTGACACAATAATAACACGGCACACCGCGGTGACTGTGCGACTGTGAGTAATGATCAAATTCTGAAGAGAGTAATTCTGAAGAGAGACAACAGTAGTCGAATTGAGTGTAATTCTGAAGAGAGACAACAGTAGTCTATTGAAGTCTGGATTGAAGTGTGGTCTTGTTATCTGTTCACGCTGCCGCTGAAGTTGGGGAAACAGTGTGTGAGGAATGTGGACGACACCGAGGGAACTGGGTCAGCGCACAGTCTGAACCGCAGCGGTTTCCAAAATGAAACACATGTGGAGAATGTGGGCTGCCACCACCTGAAGGAGCACTGAATAAAATATAAACAGAAGCGACGGCAGCCTGCGCTCTTATCTCAACAAACAGGCGGCCTGTCTTTGCGTGTGGAGAGACATAATAGAGGCTGATGAGCGGGTGGACTTACGACATGAAGCAGCCTCAGGACGTCGACGAACCTAGACACCAGCACACAGACAGAAATTAGACGTGACGAGGAAAATATAGCGATTAAAAACAGTGATTCCTGCAAGTATTCATCACAAACAGATTTAGTTTTGCGGACCAAAGAAACACTCATACTTAAGGTCAATTTAAAGTATCCACTTAATCCTGCATGTTGTTTGACTGGGGGACTAAACCATCACTATCATTTGCAGCCGAGAATCAAACTGGTTATCTGTGAGTGCTAACCATTCTTCTCCCAAGTAGCCCAAAAAAAAAATATTTAGGGCAAAACACAAACGACATTGTTTTTGCAATAATGGACTGGAGTTCTTACACACTCTCTGAGCTCATGATTTCAGCAGCGATGTAATGAATCTTTGTCTTTTTCTGTCCAATCTCACTCTGAAAGACAGAATGCAGAACAGAAAGACATTCAGGGCTGATTACGTTTTCAAAACGTAGTTTAATATTTAAACTCGTCGTCAATATTCTCAGTTATTGTGTTCTCACCTCTCTGTCTTGATGTTCTCAATAGTTATTGTGTTCTCACCTCTCTGTCTTCCGGCTGCTCAGCATCTCCTTTACTTGAGACAGAGCTGCTGTCCTTCTCATCGTCCTCAGCTGAGGACCAAGTGTTTGTCCCAAAATCATGGTCGTCTTCGTCAAAGTCCTCGTTATCGTCATCTGAAGGACCAATGCCTACGGGCATCGCTCCGTCATGGACGGAGACTCTGTCGAATAGAAGACATGGAGGTGTAAGAACATAGACTATACACACACACGCACGAGTAAACACACCTCGTTACGTTAAGTTTAATCTAAATCTGTCCAGGCTAACTATTGCAGAAACTGTCACAGTGCACATGCAGAAATGCAGTTGATAGGCAAAATGAATGCTTTTTTTTTTAAAGACAGTGAACGCAGCACACTGTGACTCACCATAAGTCATTCAAATTCACATGATCACATTGGAAAGAAGGTTCCAAAAAAAAAAAATCAGGTTGTTATTTATGGAAGAGGGAGAAAAGATTAATAGGGTTAAAAGTAAAATTTCAAAAAAACCTCACACAAGCATTTTATCTGTGGTTTTCTTTTTGTCACTACAGCATTTTTTCATGCCGTGACCAAGAGAGGGAGTCATAAAAAGGGTACACAGGGGAAAAGGAACAAATCTAGACAAAAATAGACTATCACAGATCATCATCTTAGTCTAAAGCTGACACATAACTATTCTTTATCAACGTTCTCTTTGTTGGTTTAATTTTGAGGCCAGAAAGTGTCAAAAACCGCACAACCCCCCGGTGGACTTTAGATGAAACAGCACCTGCAGCAAACACACCATAGCTGACTTTTCTCTTTTATGAGCTGGTGAACACGGTTTGAACATTAGGGGAAAGTTTCTGTTTTTAACTGAGGTGGTGAGAAAAGTCTAGGGCAGGGTTCATCCCGCGGGGTATGTTCTAAATATAAAACTAGTCAACAAGATGGTCAAAAATTATACCGTTACTGTGCCCCTTGGATCAATTACACTCGCAGTGATATTCAAATGAGTGCAATGACGATGGTAAGAAGAGTGTCTACTACTGTATGTCCCAGAACTGATTATTATTACATTGTTCAGGAGCTCTGTATTAAAATAGTAGCTCTCCGTATTACTAGGTGCCCTTGAAGTAGCTCTCACTTTCAAACAGGTTGGTGACCCCTGGTCTAGGGAAGTAGCTCAATATTAACATTTAAATCAAACATTAATGTGAGACAGAACTGAACGTCCTTGTAGTATGTATTTACCAGACCACGAGACCAATTCAGAAACCCCAGTGCAGTTAAAAAAAAAAAAGATATTAATAATTATTTCAAACTTTATTTGAAACCTTGTCTGTTGTTGTTAGAACTATTCTTTACCCTAACATGTATATTCTTACATTCACTAACTCTTGTAGTGGTTTGTCTTCCTGACACGTGTCCACTCTCTGCAGATGCACAAATTAAAACAGACTACCTGTCAAACTCCCCGGACAGGAATCTGTAGCAATAGACAACGGCTTTGTTTATGTGTGGCGTCAGAATGAGGCCTACTGCAGCTGAAGACATTTCGGTGTGACACGCTTCACTTTGATCCAGTAATACACTCTTTTTCAACACCGGATCTGACAATTTAAAGTAGCTTCAGGTGTTTTCCTCAACGCAATGATCTCTTTTTTTTGTATCTTCTAATTTCAGCTACTCGTTGCAGGGGTCGTCCCAGCAGATCTGGTCACTCTCTCTACACACATTCTAAATCACAGGTCAACAAGTGGTTCACACTTGTTAAAGATAGTGCAGGTGGTCGTATAAGTTGAAATTCACAATAAATTTAACAAGTGGTTCACAACCCAGTCAGGATCCGCAAAGATAGTGCAGGCGGTCGTATAAGTTGAAATTCACAATAAATATTTTACCTGCTACTGTGTGTGTATTTCATCTGTTAGAATGGAGAAACATGTTTGAAATACGTGTGTGTATTTCAGCTAGAGTTAGAATGGAGAAACATGTTTGAAATAGTTATTAATTAATATCTGCATACCAATGTAATGAATCCCAATTTCTTGCAAAAAAATATTCTAATTCTATACTGTTGAATCCATGCTAGCTGGTCCTGGAAAACTCTAAAGACCCTGCTGTTATTACTGTCCTTCTGTCACTCATGCTGTACTGTCCATTACAATTACTGTCACTAATGCTGTACTGTCCATTACTTTGACCTCAGCTGTTTGACATATACTCCATGCTTCAGTTAAAGGCCGTGATGGAGCCCTGGTCTACCTTTCTGTTGGGGTTTGACCCAGTTGTGTTCCAGTGCTTTTCTCGTAGGACATGTACGGCTCCTGCTCCTCGTAAATCCCCTCGTCGTTGTACATTTGGCAGGCTGCGGGTGGTGAGAGGAAAGCACGAGGAAACATCTCCCCCACCTCAATGTTCATGTAGTCAGGGATCTCCTCATAGTGACGCACGTTCTCATAGAGAAGCTCGTCGTCTCCATCCACACTCTGCTCTATTCCAATAAGAGGGCAGGAGAATTTCCGTTGGCTCCTGAGCGGCTCCTTCTGATCGTCAGTACTGTGGTCAAGGTCACACGCGGATCCGTCCGTCCCCTGTCCTCCTTTAGCTTTAAGTTTAGGCAGCTTCTTCACAGACAGCTTCAAGTCCAAGAGTTTGCGGAAAGAGTTTTTCCTTTGTCCTTCAGAGGTGATCAGGTCAGCACCAGAGAAGGACTTGGCTCTCTTTTTACCCAGACTGGAGCGGGAAGATTTGACAAGTCCAGGTGTGTGATGGTTCTTGCTTGTTTTCTCCTGCGGAGGCAAAGGCAGCTCCCTCGTCGTTCTCTCCTTCGAACAACAGTCTGTTCTCAAAGGCTCATCCAGTTTCTCTTTAAAGCCTGTCGATCCGTTTGCTTTCCCCTCGGAAAATCCCTCCTTCTGAGCGAATCTTGACAGGCTGTTGTCTTTCCACGGAAGCTCTGGGACTGACTTGTTCTCTGCTGCCATGCTGACGACAGGCTGAGGCTGAGTGGTCTCCTCTGCCTGGTCCAGCCAACTCTGAGATAAAGCCGCATGCTTGGAGTGGCTGTAGACTCCCTCCTGGTCTTTCCGCCCTTCCGTGTGCTTGTCCACCTCTTCTTCGTCATCCTCATCAACTGATACGCCCATCTCTTGACTGTTGATGTCCAAGCCCAGATCTTCCTCCTCCACGTCCTTTGAATGTATCTCACTTGGCACTTGGAAAGAGGGAGGTGGTAAAACCTCCTTCTTGGGTGGAGAGGCTGTAGGTGCCGAGGCCCTCAACGCAGCCAGAACAATCAGCTCAGTGTTTTCATAGGCAGGTACACTGACAGATAGGGGTGAACTGTCCTTCCCCTCTGATGGCACCTTCGCCTCGCTGACGTTAACACCCCTCCCTTCCTGCCTCGTAACATCTTCCCTCCCCGTCTCCACCTTTTCCTGAAGAGCAAGACCAGATGGTCTGGGTTTCCGAGGCACGGGCAGAGGTTTTGGATTTGCTGGTGTAGGTCGGGACACACAAGGTGTTTGCTCAAAGGCAAGAGTGTCTCCCTTTGGCCTTTGACCAATGAGACATTGAGGTATGATGTTGTCATTTGCTTCATCGCTCCATGTTCTTCTAGCCAAACACTGCCCCCCATTCACTCCAGAGCTAGAGACGTGGAATTGTGGGCTCGAATATTTGTCCGACTCAGGAGTCCCTCGTAGAGGTTTATGGTTATTGAGGTTGGTGTTGGTAAAGGCCTCAGTGCCTTGAAGGTCCTGGGAAATCCTTTGGCCGTTTTCATGTCTCACTGTTTTCAACTGGTTCTCCACTTTGTCTCTGGCAGCTGCCGTGTTCCTAAAGCACTGACACCTTTCCAGGCTACATAGACAAATAGGAATGATATAGTCCCAGTCTGGCTTCTTGTTTTCTTGTGTTCCATTTTGGGAGTTGAGAAGTCCAACGCCATGCAGGGTTTCTGTTACAGATTTTTGAAGGAGGCTCTTTGAGGGGATGGCTCTGGATTCCACTGCAGGTGTGAGTTTGGTGGGGCAAGGTTTGGGAGCCAGCACTGGTTTGGACAGTCTAGATGTCCCAGGTGATGGGAGAGAAAGACCATCTATTCTGGGGGTGGAGGGAGACAGCCCCGGCCTCTGAGGGTTCACCAGCTTTGGTTTAGGAGCCAGAGGTGGCTTGTGCATATCTGAGGAGAGGAAACAAACACGAGGTTAAGTCAAAAAAGTTTAAAAACAGGGGTTATGATTTCGAAAAGTACGTGTAGAGACTTCAGTAGTGACCTGGGCACATCTTAGAATTAAAAATGTAGTCCGATGGAAATAATCTTTCAGAATTTTTTTGACTTACTCTCTACATTTTCGAGACCTATAGTAATTTAATTCATTCAATCCCGGTCATCTAGTACCAACTGGCTGAACTAATATCAGACAGGATTGAGTAAATGACTGATTGAAGATGAAGAAACTGTATTTTCTTCAAGGATTTCTGTTTATTGTATTTTCAAAGGCTTGATTTAATTGGTTTATTTAAATCTGGAACTCTTTTAATCTATTTAAAGATCTAAAACTAATCCAAACCAAGTGACAGCTTAGTGTTACATTTCATTGAAGTACTAAAACCCCACAGAGGGCTCGAGGGCGGGGGGGTCACATGTCTCATGACATGTTGTTTGCCACTGTAAACACCGGCTCAGTAATCCAGCTAATGGACAAACAAATGAAGGACGGAGAGTGGGAGTGAGATGCTGCAGAGATCCTGAAAAACAGTCACGACGGACAAACAATCTGTTTAAACTATTGGCCTAAAATCTTGTGTTGTGGTGCAAGAAATGCTGACGTGATGACATGTTAATAGTTGTTTTTCCCCCATCAGCATAAATGCATATTTTTAGACTGTGTAAGAAAGAGGGTAACACCAAAACATCTGCAAGTCTGCAACATGACGGTCATACCAAACAACACAGAAGTGTTGGTTTGTTTCAAAACACGAGTCACTATGGTGTTAATTATTAACACGCATTGGTACAAGTGTCAAGTACATCCAACAATAGTCAACTTAAAACACGTGGCCCCAGAACCCAAAAAAAAAACTACACGGTGAGAAGGTTTTCATGTCATTGTTCTGGTTTGTTGGGTTTTTTTTTCTTTCAAAAAAAAAAAAAAAAAAAAACCTGATTAAACTTGTGTTTATATACTTTTTCATGACACAGAGGTAGGTTCACTTCTGGTTTCAATCTGATTCCATCTTGACAAAGCTGTATTTCTCATAAAACAAATATCTCCTTCCTGGTATTCTTTAAATACTGAAACAGGTGTTTGTGACATTACTCACACATGACTTCTCTTAAGACAATGTCAGGTATTCAACCATGGGTGAGGACCGAGTTGAAATAGTAATTACTGCTGTACCTATTCATCCCAGATGAAATATTTTACTTAAACAAAAACCGCATTAATGTGTTGTTGTTGTAAAACAGGGTCAACAACGTCGCTAATGACACTGCTGACAATGTTGAATTGATTGCAGCATAATGGCGCATTCACAATGAAGGCACTGATATGAACGAGGACATAACTATACTAACTAACTGGTGTAAACGTAGGGCAAGTGTTAAGAAATTGGTGTGAATTTTCGTCTGTCTGGTAAAAGCACAGCAGTGTTCCAGTGTGTAGTGGGCGGGAAGGCATTTTAGTTTCACCACCGGCAACAACAAAGTTAGAGCTGGTCCTATACACAATCACAATCACGGGAATCATCATTGTAAGGACACTGCAATTCAACATGTCGAAATGACCATTTAATATTTTAGTTAAAACTCGAACAAGGCTTCTGTCCCGTATGAACTGAGCATTTGGCCAAATGAAGAATCCTGTGAAAAATTATCAGGGTTTATTAAAGAGAAGTCCAGAAACAAACTTTACCTGAGTTCATGTTGTTCCCTCCTGTCGCTTCTCTTCGGTCACTTGCTGTGTTGCCGCCGCAGCGCCATCAAACCATTGATTGTGTGTGAATCCGACTCTTATCAATCACGTTTCAAAACTCGTCATTTTCTTCGTTTGTTTGAGTCAAAAATCCTAATCATCCTCCGGGTAGACGCACCGGCTCTGACTGTTGCTACTGATCTCGGCGCCGCTGCTGCTGCCTGTTTTCACGTGGGTTGTGTGGTTCACCAAACGTCCGCTAGAGGTCCTCACAGCAGTCACAGTCAGTTTAATAATATCCCAGAAAACCAAGAGTAAATATAAAATAAATGCAACGTTTCCCACTGTGTCCGATAGAAAAATAACTATCAATATTATCAATATTAAATAAAGAATATTTGCCAACCTACCTTAAAACATTATAATGTCTATTTTCTATAAAATACGCTTTCACGCCCATGCTATTTCACATACGTCATAGTTAGTTATATTAACAACACTTCCGTGACTGAGAGCTGATATCATGGTGTTTGAGGAGGAAGTTGAGATCAGCAGATCTGACATCAGTTCAACTCTAAAGGAAAAAGAGGCAAAACAACGACATCATTATTCACATTATTATTATTATTTAATATATAATATTATAATTTCAATTAGTTCATAGTTATCATCACCATCACCATTCTCGTCATTTTCCTCCCAGTCAAAATTGTGGACTGTATATGACGTTTTTCGCAGCTGTTACTTATTTTAAAAATCCCTACATTTTCTACCTCGGTGTTTCCTAACCTTTTTTGAGACAAGGCACATATTTACTATTCAGAAAAATTGAAGCTTTATATCAGTCATTCAGTCAGTCTTACGTCTCTCTTAGATTTTGCTTTTCCACTGAAGCAGACAGTGAGACATCATTGTCTATTTTTAAATGATGTATTTTCACAGTTGTGTGCTTTTTTTTAGATGGAGGCCTGTGCATTAGCCATAACAATGCTGGACAACAAAACTATAAACTTGAACCGAACTTTTTCTCTGATATTGCATTCCCTAAGCTCAGTCATTTGTGTAATATTTTAAAGATATCTGCTTACTGAGCATTATTACAAAGAAGAGCCCGTCACGGTTCACCACAGCATTGTGATATTTACTTTCCGCGGCACAAGGCGTATTAAGTCATGTGATAGTTTATAGTTTTATGTTTCACGAGTGTTAGGGTTTTAGGGTTAGTGTCTGTGTGGGCGAAATTCCAGTCAGTCATTCAGTCTCCAACCACTGAAAGTTGTATATAAAAACAATGGTCTATCGTTGACGTCTGTTTGAGTTAGAGAGTAAAGAGCGAAATGCTTACTTTAGGAGAAACAAAAATGCAGAAGTTCAGAGATGTTTCAGTAATTCATAAATGTTCTTCGTTTCTCATCACAATTCTGTCAAAAGATCTCTTCAGTAATTCATAAATGTTCTCATCACAATTCTGTCAAAAGATCTTTAAACGGTCCAACGGCTTTCACTTCTGACAAAAATCACTGCTGCCCCCTAGTGGTACTCAGAAAACTCACAGTGAGCAGTCCCTGCAGCAGCTTTATTGGCAGCGACCACACAGCACTGCTGCAGCACAAGCACAATGGATCTATCTGGCACTGAATCCACAAAATGTATCGTGAGATTTACATATATATTTATTCTAGTTATCAGAAATAATGCAACACACAAGATAACCAATTGGAAACTATTTGTGTATGTTTATATGTAAGATGTGGATAAAATACTGCACATGTGGTTTAAATAAACTAGATCAAAAAAGGAAAAAAAGAACTACTGTCCCTTTTGTTTTGTTTTTACCAAAAAGTCAATACAGTACTTACATCTACGAGTGTGACATGATTTTGTACTCGTTTCTCTGTCTTGTAAAGTTGCCCTACAGTGTGTGTGATGTGAATGGCACAGCCTGATTCTAACTCAGTATCTAGAAGCTGTGCGATCGTATTCACACAGCGAGGAAGCCAACAGCGTTGGTGTCAGTGTGATGCTGCAGTGCAGGAGGAAGCAGCGAATAACTGTAGAGCCGTGCATCAAGTCCGGACCCTGCAGATGATTGTCGAGTCAAAAACAAAACACTAATGCACTAACTGTTTCTGCCGTGATGGATAGTCATTATAGATTAGCATCTTCGTTGAACGATATTGCAAGCTACAAATATTGACTTAGTTGTTGCCTTTTGGAGGGTAAACACATCCTTTGTTTTGTTTTGTTTTTTTCAGTCCAGTCCAGTTTTCAGTCCAGTACAATGCTATGGAAAATTCTCTTGGCTGGACAGGTTTTTTAAAGCTTGCAATCAGGTGGGTGTAGAGAGAACAGGGTTGTTTGCTTCTACGGCCAAGATCTCACCGGAGCATCTGCTGTACTGAAGGACACCTGACACCTAGAGGAGAGGAGGAGGTCACTCAGAAATGACTCCGTAAACCGGGTGACATCGCTGACACCGAACAAGATCCTGATGCGGCTGCTCAATAACGTTGCGTGCACAAGATGGGGGTAATACTTTGTATTGCTGTTTTTTTTTCCCGCTTCACTGAACTACTCCAAACATCATCAGCCATTCGGATTAGCCTGTAGGCTCACTGTTATTTCCATTTGCTCTTCATGCTTTAATAATTTATTCACAGCAGGCAGTCCGATCCCAGCTGTTAAAACAAAACAACTTGTTCAACATGTATTCCACAAACGCCAGAAAGGTTGTGTTCACTAACTGTGAGAATGCGAGTACGCCGAGCTGCATGATAATAATCCTGCCAGGGTGTTTTAGCATCTCCGCTGAAGTTTCTTCTAGCTCCCTGCTGACATGACTCCAGCTTCCGCTATATCACTGCTGACGGCTCCTGCAGCCCCTCTACCGCTCTGAAATCTGGAGGACCTCCTGGCGCTGCACTGACACCTGCCATACATCATCATTTGCAAGGTGCACAGTAAAATATAGAAGCAAGCCACTTTGTTCTATACAAAGCAGAACACCGAGGGCATTAGCAGAAAGAGAAAAGCTCGTAAACCAAAGAACCAAAGAAAGGGTTTATATAAAGCAGGGCTCCTCGTAAATGGTTGTGAAAACGGACCCAGACTTGGCACTCTCTCCGCTTCTTCAGTAGAGATGTTACAGCACTAAATGTTCCTCGTTCATTAAAGCTGTCAAATAATTCAAACAATTGACCTGATTAAACACAAGGTAGTAATTGTAACCAGTGGAATAAGACGCAATCTGACAAGAGAAGACTGCAGCCAACCCCAGCTGTCCACAGGCCAGGACGGGGGTCCAACCTGGTCAGATCACCAGTGGCCACATACTGTATAAAGACAGAAGACCATTCACTGTCTCACTCTCACATGTGGTCAAATTAAAGATTTGTGTAAATCCATGGTTACATGCAGTATAATGATGAAAAAGTATGTATATATACGTGCTTACACCTTATACACTGTACTCTTATTAAGGCAAATTAGTCAAGAGGATATGTTCCTGTCAATGCTTGGTACACTAACACGGGCCAGTGTAGTGTCCAGCGAGCCCTAAATGTTTCTCTTTTTCCCCTCCCTCTTATCGTTCCTTACTCATTTATTATATACATTATCTTTTTTCATGTGGTGGGCTTTTTGGCCCAGGACCTTAAATACGCCAGCACCGCCACTGATCACACGCTACAGTTAATTACGGCTAAACTACACAAGGCAAAATGTCGAAATATTGGATGTTATTCTGATCAGCAGCCACTCAAACTTCCGCACAACCGCACATGGAGTGTGTTGCTCACGTTCCTAAATGTAGTTTTTTACTCTTCTGGACAAAGGATGGAGAGGAGGAGGAGCTGACTCCTCTTCCCTGTGGCGGTGGAGTCAGGTTATTTCACAGTGAGGCTCCTCCAGCAGCAGCAGCAGCAGCAGCAGCAGCATCACTGGCTGCTCTGCCTCCAACACACTTCCGTGCTCTGACCACAGGAGGCTCCCGCTGCTTCTATGCGTCACTTCAGCTCGTAGTAGACGCTGATCATGGCGGAGCCGCAGCCGCAGCCGCAGCCGCAGCAATCTGAGCTCCAACTTCTCAACGGCGACGAGCTGACCGAGGAGAAGGAGGACGCGGACGCTCCAGAGTCGGCGAAGAGACGGAGGAGAAAGAAGAAGAAGTGTAAGACCTGCGCACCAGGTAAGAGGCTGAACTTTTCAACGGTTGAGAAAGCGGTTCCAGGAGCATCAGCGGGTGGGGGGGGGGGGGGGGGGGGACAGAAGAGTTTGTCACCCAGTAATATTACTACAGTTAGTCCGGATGTCTGAGTAGAAGAACGAACAAAAATAGGAAATAATCCTCAATCGACAGCATAAAGAAGAAAAAAAAATCTGAATCGTTAAAAGATGTATAAAACCAAACATTTATAAATACATTTTATACTCTTAAAATTTGGTCCGACAATAATGATTCTTTTTGTTATGGTCACGTGGTTTCCCCCTTTTAGTCACCTATGTGCATTCACTTTGTCCATACAATACAGACCACATATGAATTGAGTTTAGAAAATGATAAGATATCTGTAATTCATGAGATATATTTTTTAATTTTTTTTTCTATTTTTAGAAAAGCGGTATTATTCCATATGCAAAGCCTTTTCCATCAAATAAAAAAAATTTCAATTTTAGTGCAGTTATAAAAATCCATGGGACACAAACACACCTGCAGAACGTTGACTACTATGATATCAACATTTTTTAACAAGGTTAAAGACGGGTTTTTGATGCACCATTTTAACATGACACTTGGCCTTCTTAATGTGTGATGCGTGCGCGTGTGTGCGTGTGTTCACTCACAAATGCATACATGCACGCCGCTGTGTGACTTTGCAGCAGGGACAAACGATGCCGAGGGTGATGCTGAAAGTGTGGCCGACGTGGCAAAGCAGTTGGAGCGAACCTTGCAAACACTGGAGGAGAAAGAGAGGGAGGAGGACGGAGAAGAAGGTAAATCCTCACCACTAACACCCCCATCATCATCAATATTACCATCTTCATCATCTTCCTGTGCTGCAGTGGCATCGGTGCCAAACTTCCAAGTGCTCGGTGAAATGCAGCTGGTTCTATAGCTGCATTGAAAGATCCCGTCACCACCAACATCATCACGCACCCCCCGCCCCCTTCCTTTTTTTTGTCTTAGTAGAACACTGGGATTTGTGCCCGAGCTTCTGTCGATAACTCCTACTTCGCAAACTGCACTGAAACTAATGATGCTTTCAACAGATGCGGATGAGGGAGAGAACTCGAGCGGAAAGAAGAAGAAGAGGAAGAAGAAGAAGAAAGGACGTAAGGCTTCACCGCAGCGGTGCTGCATCTTCGCGGTTCACGCAGATCAATCGGACTGATTAAATGAAACTCACATCTACTGTAGGCGGAAAAGAGGAAAAACAGAGGCCACGGCTGGAATCACAGCATCAGTGGTTTTAATCAACTCACTGTGCAAAGGCTCTGATTGAAACCCGCTCTAAATCAGCAGCAGCGAAATGACCTTATTGACCACCCGAGCAGGCAGGACTGACAGGAAGGAGGACGAGGAGGAGGTCGAAGGGGTGACTGACAGAGTTACGCCCTCAGTAAAGAAACTACAACTGTTGTATGGCCTGAAAACATCGGCTTCTATTCATGTTAATATTTACCATATAAGTCAACAACGAAGACAAAGAAACTTATTATACATTTATTATGAACTTATTTTACTTGTTATATCATTTAAACTTACATTTTTGAGTGTCCTCAAAATATAATGACCAATGCTGTGCAACATTGAAATGACGAATTTATTGTGAGGCACTAACACGGCTTGATTTGATAATTGGGAATAATAATAATTTTTTTAAAAAAATCACAATTTACCAAAATGCCAACTGAGAGAATCAGTATCTATTTCTACGTAGGTAAAACATTTAGAGGTCGCAGACAGAAACCCTGTAATACTTTTTTTTTTTTTTCCGCACACGATTTCTATTTTGGGTTATTGCTCGGGTTATTGCTTCGTGAAAACTGCAAGGATAACTTTGTGTTTTCTTTCCTCCCTCTGCATCTCCGTCTCTTTATCTGGGCCACAGTGAAGGGACAGACTGACCCTCCCTCAGTCCCCATTTATGAGCTGTATCCCAGTGGAGAATTTCCGAAGGGAGAAGAGTGTGAATACCCCCCATCGAAAGACGGGTGTGTGACCTCCACGTTTGTACTGGGAACACACCGTGGTACAGGTTGTACACGGTGTGGTGTACCAAATATTTATTCAACTCTGCGCCGCACCTATTTATATATTGGAAATCCACAATATGGCCTATTTAAATGTGAAAACGCAGCAGCGTGCTCTCATCACCTTGTTTCTCCCACTTGACACTGACTTGCGCAAATGTTTTCACTTTCAAACTGCCCGAACTTACTGTTGCACTTCTATATACGTTCATATATGTACATATATATGCATGTATAAACTGTACATATATATTCTGTATATACGTATATATATGTATATCCATACATATACTGTATATACATATATACAAACACATATATATATATATATATATTAGCACTGTTAAATATTTCCTATACTAGGCAGTGGTGACTTAGTGGTTAAGGAAGTGGTTTCAGGTTCGAGTCCACCAGCTGTCAAGTGACCACTGTGGTGCTCTGAGCATGACACTGTTCAATTTGGTGAGCTGTGTCACAATGACAAGGAGTTCACTTTCCTTCCTTCCTGTTTCTAGCATAGACCATATTCTATGCGAACATCTTTATTCAAATGTAAATCTACCGCATTTGCACTTCTACTTTGAGGCATTTCACTGCTCTGTTCCTGTGACAAGAGCGGGGAATCTCATTCAATTCAAACCAAAAATTTCAACAACATTTTCTGTCTGCCCTCCCTCCCTCAGGCGCAGTGCAGCATGGCGGACAACCAGTGAAGAGAAGCAGGCACTGGACAGGGCCAACGAGGAAATGTGGAGTGATTTCAGGCAAGCAGCCGAGGCGCATCGACAAGTGCGCGCTTACGTCAGGAGCTGGATCAAACCGGGGATGACCATGATTGACATCTGGTAAGACTTTTGCTGGACTGATGTTGAAATGACTGAGAACTGTTCCCCGGTGCTCCGTCAGTCCTGACAGCGGTCTTATTGTTTTTGTCAGTAATTGTTCCCCTGTTCCCGCTCTCTATGGCTTTGGCAGTGAGAAGCTGGAGGACTGCTCCAGGAAACTCATCAATGAAAATGGACTGGGGGCCGGCCTGGCCTTCCCCACAGGCTGCTCCATCAACCACTGTGCTGCCCACTACACCCCTAATGCAGGAGACCCCACCGTGCTGCGCTATGATGATGTCTGCAAAATCGACTTTGGAACTCACATCAACGGTGAGCACTTACTGGCACTTTTTTTTTATTTTTTTTTTATGATTTTGGTGGATTTCCATGGTTTTTTACACTTCTGGCATTTTCTACGACATGGTAAAATGATGATCGCAGTAAAATCCCTGCTGTCTGGAATCAAATGTAGAGAGTTAATTTAGCCGTCGGTTACAATAAGTCATGCATGATTTTTTTTTTTTTATGTCTGAAAAGCATGTATTCCAAAAGTACAGTATATTGGAAATGTAAGGATTGGAAGATTCACAGATTCAAGGGGCAATTAAAGCAAACGTTGATTCGCGATGATGTTCATCAATTTGTGTAATTAATCGGACTACAATTTTTAACGCATTTTTTTACACCTGGCAGAATTACTTACATTATACTGTGTATATATATATATATATATATATATATATTCCATCCACTAATCGTAAAACACAGTCTGTAAACATGATGTAATTTAAACACCCTGTGGGGAAAAGCTTTCACTTCACCGAAGCACCTCCAGCTTAAAATACTACCTTAACGCCTGGCAAAGGTTTCTGGGTAATTCAACCTCGGGTCAGACGCAGTCTCGCTGTAGAAGTAGGTCGACGGATGTATCAAATGGATTGTGAGGAGACAGTCGACTGTATCTAATGTTTAACTATTATTGCTACATTTTTAGCCTTTAACGTCTTATCCAACCGTACAAGACTTTGCAGTCTTAATATCTAAGCTAACGTAAATTTGTTAAGCTGTGCTATGAAATATCTTACCTGAAACTGTAATCACAAAAATGCTGGTTCAATTCCTAAAGACCCCCATGTCTATTTCTGGAGTGTTTAGCGCTGAGCTCTTGCTTGTTGCTAACCCTGGTACTGTATCTGTAACGTTCTTTCAGGACGAATAATAGACTGTGCCTTCACCGTCACCTTTAACCCAAAGTATGACCGACTGCTGGAGGCAGTGAGAGACGCCACAAACACTGGCATCAAGGTAAACCCCCCCCCCCAGAATGATCACTTTATACATGTTTTTAGTTTTTAAATTGGTCAAAATAAACATAAAATAAAGTGGGGTTTTTTAACTTAAAATTTAAACACTTTAAATCTGAAATATAGTAATATACAAAATAATTTACAATATATTGTCTGTAATATATTATCATTGGGCTTACAGTTTCAAATCAAGTAGCATTTCTCGATCGACTTTTTTACTTTTTTTATTTGTCTCTAATATTTTCCAAGTATCTTTGAGGGTTTTCGATAAGTGCGATTGTTGAAAAGTACGGAGGTTCTAAAGATAAAGCTAAACTCGAATCTTCATTTGTTCGGCAAAGTTTCACATTTACATGTCTGAAGAGGCTGTTCTGACGACAACAGCGACAGAAAAGTAAGAAATCGAACCAGTGCTGGTTTTTTTTACAATGTCGTGTGTTTTACAGTGTGCAGGTATCGACGTGCGCCTGTGTGATATCGGTGAGACGATCCAGGAGGTGATGGAGTCGTACGAGGTGGAGATAGATGGGAAAACATATCAAGGTAATACGGGGGTCATTCATCATCATGTCGACGACTGCTGCTGCTGCTGCTGCTGCTTCATTAAGCCTCTGCCTGTGTGTTCTGTCGACAGTGAAGCCCGTCAGGAATCTCAACGGCCACTCTATTGGACCGTACAGGATACACTCAGGGAAGACCGTCCCTATCGTTAAAGGTGGAGAAGCCACTAGAATGGAGGTGCGTGCAGTTACCACACACTCGCAGTCACCTTCTCACCGCCACACACTTTCGGACAAAGTACGGTAAAACTGAAGTCTCTGAAATTCAAAATCTCTCTCCCCTCCGTTGGCTTTCTAATCAGGCCGTTTGAATTCTACCATCATCATTGTGAGTTAATTTGCCCGTCAGAAGTTGCACTGAGGCGTGGAGCAGCGTTCCAATATTCTTCTCTAACAGCGTTTTAATTACATCTGTAATAGAATTACCGGCCATCAGCGGCAGCAGCAGCGGCCAGAGTTAAGACTCAGGAAAATTAATCACACAGATTTAGACTCCGATTTAGACTCCCTGTCACATCACCGCAGAGAAAGGACAGCAGCAGTGGTTTTTAAGTTTGGATAACTCTGGTGAAAGGTCAGTTAAAATCGGACGCCCGGAAGTCAATATTTGCCCTTGAAATTGTCATGACTGAGACTTTTGTTGCACCTGATTATTTAGAAGTCGACATTACAGATCAAGTTCATTAGCCCAGGTAACAAAAGTTACACACACACACTGACTGTTCCTTCACATGTTCAGCTGCAGTGACTGTATTGAGGCTGATAATTGGCAAGGTGCTGTGTCAAGCTTTTTACCTGATGGTTTGCAGAACAAGGGGTTCTCTAACAGCGTTTTAATTACATCTGTAATAGAATTACCGGCCATCAGCGGCAGCAGCAGCGGCCAGAGTTAAGACTCAGGAAAATTAATCACACAGATTTAGACTCCGATTTAGACTCCCTGTCACATCACCGCAGAGAAAGGACAGCAGCAGTGGTTTTTAAGTTTAGATAACTCCCCAGAAGTCAATATTTACCCTTGAAATTGTCATGACTGAGACGTTTGTTGCACCTGATTATTTAGAAGTCGACATTACAGATCAAGTTCATTAGCCCAGGTAACAAAAGTTACACACACACACTGACTGTTCCTTCACATGTTCAGCTGCAGTGACTGTATTGAGGCTGATAATTGGCAAGGTGCTGTGTCAAGCTTTTTACCTGATGGTTTGCAGAACAAGGGGGTGGGGGGAGTGAGAGCGGTGGGCTAACTGCTGATGTGGCGGTCTTCGCCATTGTATTTTTAACCTAAGTGTTTAGGAGTAAAAGGGACATTATCCTCTTTGTGATCTCAGAGTCAGCCGGGTGTGCCGCAGGGCTGCGTTTACTCTGACTGATTATCAAACAGTGACAGAGGGCGACGCAGTGTGTTATCAGCCGTTACTGCGGGGGCTCCAACAAACAGCACTCTGCGATAGGAGATCGGAACTACCAGTGACACACAGACACACGTTTTTGGAAAAAAAAAAATGGCACAAATGTCTTTCGTGTCTGCTGACAAGTTCAGGTTTTTGATGAATTCACCGTACGGTTCTCTCTCTCTCTCTCTCTCTCTCTCTACCGCTCTGACAAAGTGGTTTGTCCTTTTGAAGCTCATGTAGCAGCAGCAGGTGAAGATAGCTAAACATAAGAACGCGCAAAGCTAAAAGTTAGCAAAAATCAATTAATGGTAATTAATTTTGATCATTAAAATGAATTGATAAATGGTTCTGGAAAGAAATACAAATCAACTAATTTTCCAGAGTTAAAAGATTGTTAGTTACACTAAGGGCAAAACCTCATATGTTTTAAATAGGAATAATCATTTCTATCCCTGCAGGAAGGTGAGGTTTATGCCATCGAGACATTTGGCAGCACCGGCAGAGGTGCAGTCTACGATGACATGGAGTGCTCACATTACATGAAAAACTTCAATGTGGGACACGTGCCAATCAGGTTTGTCCTTTCTTTATTGATTCTTTTGGACAGAAAATCTGTTATTATAACGAAAATCCCACAGTTTCTATACCGCACGTGTCACTTTGAGGTTTTTTTTATTTTTAATTGTACCGCAGACTTCCAAGGGCTAAACATCTTCTGAATGTCATCAACGAGAACTTCAGCACACTGGCTTTTTGTCGCCGCTGGCTGGACCGCCTGGGTGAGAGCAAGTACCTGATGGCACTGAAAAATCTGTGTGACCTCGGCATCATAGACCCGTATCCACCTCTGTGTGACATCAAGGGCAGCTACACGGCCCAGTATGAGCACACCATTCTACTCAGGCCCACCTGCAAAGAGGTCGTGAGCCGTGGAGACGACTACTGAGCATGCAGCAGAACCTGCTGAGAACCAGGACGAGCGCTTGAGCGCCGAGACGACACACCTCTTCAGACTGATAGAAATTATGCAACATTTCTCTGGCCAAAATTTTCACTGCTAAGAAAAAAAAGCCTTTAGGTAACTGTTAGCAAAAGAGAAAAAAAAAAAAGTTGAAATGATACTTTAATACTAAAAGGGCATACTTTTAAAAGTTTTTAGATTGTGTTAAATTAATGGGCTGCTTTTAGGAAATGCAAATAATAATAAAAAAAATCTATATATGCAAGATATTCATGCGGAATTTTTTTTTGGTTAAAACCCTAAATGCTTTTTTTATTTATAGAAATATTTCTATTTTTATTTTTTTTTTGCTGGAATTCAGTTGTAAGTTGGTTTTTATAAGAGAGAAATCCTGACAAATTGTGCATTAAATGCTGTCTCTGCACACGACCTTGATTTACTGTACTAATTTATTTAGAGGGTGTTTTGAAACACTTTGTGCCACTGGTAGTACTTTTGCTTCCCCTAGTGGTACACAGGTGAATCTATATTTTCTACATTTTCCTATTTGGCAAAACGGTGGAAGCAGAGTTAAAAAATATATATATATATATTTTTTTTTTTTAATGGCCATGTTGTTTGTTTGGCTTTTTTCAATGCACAGTACTTGCACGTAGCTGATAACGTGGAGCATAATCTACCTGGTGAAAACCCGGTAAATTGGAGAAGCCATTGCCCTAATTCATCAAAGTCTAGCGCCTATTCATTAGCCTTTCAATGCAACGCCTCTAGACAGATATGAACCAACAGTAAAGTCCAAAACAAAATATATTATCAACCGTCTATTCCTAAAGTGAAATTTACGCCACAAAATATGTTAATTATCAGATTCATTACTTACAATGGCGAGTCTTGGAGTTTCCGCTGAGCTTTGCTAATCATGCTAACATCATAGCCTACTTTCCACTTCTTTGGTGGGGGGTTTACAGCGCCTAGGCCTCCTTAGGTTGCTGCCACCTGTTGGCCTACTACAGTCATTTCAACAATTTGTTGAAGAAATTGCATCGTTTCCGGCACATTGTCACTACCTGCACGTTTTTGTTTTTTACAGATAATAAAGGATAAGTGTGGATTTAAAAAGAAAACATCGTTTATAAATCTTATTAAATTGCTAACAATAACTTATTTAAGAATCTAGTTTGTTAAACAACCAACCATGTGTCCATTTAATCGTTAAATTGTATTGTTCTCTAATTCGGCCATGAGAGGGCAGTACTGTGGCATGGTAGAGACGTGTGTCACTGTTAAGATGTAAAGAGCTATTCATAACCTCCTGCTTCAGTGTAACGTAACCGCCAATACACAAGTAAAAACCCCTAGAGGCTTTTAGGAAGAACTCAACAACACTGAGTTTATATATCAAAAATATACACAGGACTCACGGAAACTGTTTAACAAATGTCACACTGGCAGCAGACCCCACTAGGACACAATAAATCACTGCTTTGTCCCATGGAAGAAAACTATTCTTCTTATTTTTGGTAAAGTCTTTAGGACAAGGACAGTAATGTTGACGTGACGACTGAGGAAATCTGAACGTTTCCTCTCGTTGTTTTTAATTCTCCTCGGAGATCAGGTCTATTCTTAACTGAGCCCGGCTTAAAAAAAAAAAATAGCCTTTGGACTCTGGACTGGATACACTGTGATGTCAACGAGCAGCCTGGCTTTTAATACATATTTATTTTAAGGCAGCAAGAGCCAGAGGCCAAGTAGAGAAACATATGCTAGGGTAGTGCGTGTGTGTGTGTGTGTGTGTGTCAGGTTAGGTGTTATCGCCACGAATCTATCAACTTCACACACAAGTAGGTCGTTGAAGGACAGCAACAGATTCTTACAGTCTGGTGTGAAGCCAGCCGACAACCAGAACCTATTTTCGCTAAATGAGCATTAAGGCCGAACTCCTCCAAGGTGCTTGTGTTGTTGTGGGTCAAACGGAGTGTGCGTCTAGGTCTCTCTGTCGGCCCACAGACAATGAGCCTCAGTGTCTGAGGAACAGGTAGAGTAGCTGTTGATGTCCCTTCATCCCAGCGTGTCACTAGCGTGTTGTCCCAAAAGGCACTGGTTATGTAATGGAGCATATTGGACACATACATGGTCCCGCACATAACACATAGTTTGATGTTGACTCATGATTTGTCACCAGGGTGTGAGAGCAGACGGGGATGATTCGAATTCCAAAGCAAACAGCTCAGCATCAGAGCGAGAAGGATGTGGCTTCGTCAGATCACAGACCCTCGCATCATTTAACGACCGTTTCGTGTTTTTTGTTTCACTTTTGTGTCCACAAAAATGTTAAATACCCCCCCCAACCCCCCCGGGTCATTGTTCGTTGATTTCGTTATTTGTTTAGCCGTCATCTGTTTGTCAGAGCTTTGATTCTGTTCATTTCTCCGGGGAAGACCTTGACGAAGCTCTGCCGCTGACCGCAGTTTTTCCTCAGGATGTGGAGGATTTTGCGTCCCAGGCTCGACCTCCAAGATTTAACCAGACTCTTCGTGTTGACCATCAGTCGACCTGTCCTCCAGTCTTCATGACCAGCAACTACATACTCCGATCCTGGAGAAGAAGAAGAAGAAGAAGAAAAGAGCATCAGCATATGCAAATGATACGACACAGGGCGAGGATGGTTCATCAAATAAATGTTCAAATAAATGATTTATATTTCAATCGGACACACGACTTATTTTTTTCACAGTGTGTTTTTAAAAAAAAGCTAACGGCTAACAACAGCCAGTTACAGCAATAACCGGTTTATGTCTTATGTCATCTTCCCATCCATATTCGTTAATTGGCTTTCCACAATGTTAACAATGCAGTTCCTGAGTGGCTTCGGCTGACCTGGGTTCAGGATGGGACATGTGCAACCCTGCGTCGTCCAGGACTCTGGGTAGAGTGTGACACTTCCTCTCCGAATCTTCATGGAAGGGCTCTGGTACAAGACCTTCTTCACCTTGACTTCCACCTCTGCGTGGGAACCTTTATCATGAGCTGACATCACCTTCGCCACCAGTACTGCAAAGAAAACGTGTAAAAAAAAAAATCACAACATGTACTATAACAGGTTTGTTCGGCTCGGTTTTTACAAATATACATTATAAAATGACAATTTTTCATACCTCTTCAAATTTTAAGCTCCCTAAATAATACTAAATAAATAAATACTTATGTAAAAGTTTGAACCAACATTAAAACCTGTAACTGCTGGATTATTCGGGTGGACATGATGTGACAACAGATCTGGTGTGCGTGTGAGTTGATTATTAACTCTGACGACTGAAATGACTACGGTAAAACCTGAATGAATGACTTCACTGTGTCCGACGTGACTTACCGTAGTCATAAGCTGCAGCACAGATGACTTTAGGTCTGTCCAGACTCATTTCCACACACTCACATTTCACTGGTAAAATAAATTAAAAAAGTGACATAAGTTATTGGTAAAAATCAATATTTGACAATGTTGTATTGTCAAATATTAATATAAATATATATAAATATATATATAAATATATATAATATAAATATAAAGAGGTGAGCGTGGAAAATCTGTAACCAGACTTTTGGCTCTGGAGTAAATTTTAAATCATCCCAAGTTATTACTCTGTGTTTATTGCAAAAACATTTTCACAAAATACCTCAAAAGAGTCTCTGCAGCCACAAAAGTTACTGCAAATGATATTATTTTTTATTAAGTACAAAACCTTTCTTTGGACAAAGAGTGTAACGTGACGTGAGACTCACCAGAATGATGCAGTGCAGAGAAAAGCTCCTCGGGCTTAAACTGTGTCCTCTCACTGTCATTGCTGCTGTGTCCCACGTGGTTAGAACCGGCATAGAAGGCGTCCACCTCTGAGCTGTGGTAAAAATGAGGGAGATCAGATCAGGACATTCAAATCACTGTCAAACCATCCATAAAACAACTTTTTTTTTAGTTCTCTTTATTTATAGATTTAAAAGTGTCAACATCAGTGTGAATGGGCGTGATTGACATCTAGACGACGTGATTGCGAGAACGTCCGTGTGACACCAACACAGATGTTTACTCTTCAACACAGTTGATGTTCCCGACACTTGCTAAGACTCGGGGTTTAGCGGCACCGTGCTGTGATACTGCTGAGACATTCTAACTGAGACAAAGTCCTGGCTCTCACCCAGAAATACAGTCACCAGTGAAGGGGTCACAGTCTCCTGTACAGTCACAAGGACGGCAGCCGTATTCATGCAGCCCCCAGTATCCCATCATGCAGCTGTCACAGGCAGGGCCTCCGACGCCTGGCTTACAAGTGCAATCCCCATTGGTGGGGTTACAGTGGGAGCCGTCACCTGAGAGGGCGGAGCCTACAGGATGACAGGAGCAAGCTGCAGAGGACAGGAGGATTTCTGTTAGCATCTTTTGGTAGCTTTTAGGCTAGGAAAACTGCACATATATAAAAAACTACACAGAGACAAAAAATGTTTTTATTTAAATGTCTTAGAACCTAAACCTAGAACTAGGTATTGGACTGATAATCTCTTTAAAATTATATCAACATTTCAGGTTCAAGAATGTAACTATTATTATCTTATAGTAATTTTAGGAACATTTATTTTTTAAATGATAAATATATTGATGATTAAACTAATAGCCACCATGTAACAGCTATTATGTAGCCATCCAGCCACCATGCTTTATAATCCAATTTCCTCTAAATAGGATCCTAATTAAAAAAAAACAGACCCAATATTTTATTGATGGACTAAAACTCATCAAAATAAAATTGCTAAATTCATGTATAAATGCTAATGCATAAATATATAAAAATAGAGTTTTTATTTTATTTTAATGATGTCAAGAAATAGTTCTGCCACAGACGCCCCTTCTAAACATGAAGTACACTTTACGGACAATTAGTATGTATGGACGGGGGCGAAAAGCAAACACCAAATATCGTGTGTAAACAGTTCCCTCCCTTTACAGTACATCATTTTCTCATACGTCCCAGGGCAGCTGCAGCTGCAGCAAACAACACATCAGTCTCTGTCTACGCTCTTGAGACTCTTTCTGTGCCTCAGTTGTATCCAAATATGGATTGTTTGTTCCCTAAAATGCATTTCCAGCGAGGGGTAAAGGGCAAGAATGTGAAAAATGTGCCGTCATGGACCATGGGAAATTCCTCCATTGTTTGCAATAACAGCCGCATTCCAGTACAGTAAGGTCTGCGTCATTAGTTCAAAGGAGCCGATTCATCTCCTCAGAGTGAAGACGGCGCTTTAGGAAGGTGCAGGAAATATAATCATCTTATTATCCCCCTTTATTTATTAATTATGAAGCACGGTGTACTTGGTTAGCGGGACATGAAGGAGCAGACTGACAGAAGGTTAGGACCTACGTTTGCAGGAGTCGGGAGCTGTGGCAGGACGACTCTGGTCTCTGAAGTAACCTTTCTTGCAGTTTTGGCAGTGACGACCCTCTGTGTTGTGGAGGCAGTCGTCACACACACCACCGCTCCGCCGGCTGCTTGCCAGCCACAGTTCACGACTGAAGTGGCAGCTGTTGGCGTGACCGTTGCATTTGCACTCTGTTGTTGGGAAACAACAAACACAAACAAATATTAAAAGGTTTTTTTCGGTCACAACTGAGAAAAGAACTTTTTTTTTCCACCCCCTACTCTATAAAAAGAATATTTTTAATATTTTTAAGAGTCATAAATGCCAAGGTCAAACTTTCATCTTAACTAATATTCAGCAAAGTTTACATTTCAGTAACAGATATAATCACACAGATGACCTTTGACACCAAACTTATTTCTGATGCGAGTCCACATGCTGTGTGCCCTCCGCTGTAATTGACTCTGGTGTCCCGTCACTCACTCTGACACTCGTGCGGCGTCCCGGTGAGACCGTTGGCCGCCTGCCAGGGTCTGTCGTTGTAGAGAGGCGCACAGCGCTCACAGTGGTCACCAGCTGTGTTGTGTCTGCACACACACTTTCCATGGACCTGTGAGGGTCACAGAGAAGCAGAACAATCACCACAGAGGAGTCCAAAAGCACTTCTCTAATGTCTCTTTCTGTCGTTTCGTCACATCTCA